CAGCTGGGTGGATCCGGACAATATGATTGGAATACTTCCAGAACCTGGAGCAGCAGATTCCAGGATTCATGGACACAGGGAAGCAAAAGTAAGTGCGCTCCTGTGACCCAGATGAGAAGCATTGGCAAAAAAACTTTGACCATACTACTTTTAAGAAGTGCTAGCATAGTTCACTAGGATCGTGTAACAACCTACGTTTATAAATTTACCTTAAAGTGTAACTCCACTTTTGAGGGGAAAAAAAAAAATAATATAACATATACAATTGCTACACAAGTCTTATTGTAATTGAATGGTATTAAAAATTTCCTTTTCAATCTGCAGCGCTGTAATTTTCTGTAAAATGCAAAGCAATATGGCTACCTGGAGGCGCTCTCTACACAGATGGCGTACAGAACTCCACCAGAAATGTAATTTCCTGTTTGTGTGATTTGCTCACTGAAGTCAGATTTTGGGCATTCCCTGCAACAAAAACTTCATTTTTTTTGTGAGGTACTCTCAAAGGGAGATCACATCTAAAGGGAAGCAGACCTTGCCACTTTCCTCATTAGAGCCCTGCAAGTGCAGTAGCTGATTGATAATTTAAAATCCTTCACATTAGATTCACAGCAAATGGCAACCATCCCAACCTATAACTAGCCTTAGGAGTCAGATTCACATGGAAAAGCAATGTACATCGCAAACAAACAAAGGATTTCCCAACATCACTTACCAGCCAGCCTGCAAAACAACCAATTTGGCCCTGTCTGTTTGCGTTAAAAACAGAGGGTTTTGTTTGCACACATTTGCAAATGCATGCGTAAGCCACAGTCCCACGTCAAGGGTCCTCTGTATACTGTGGACCTAACTCTAAAATTTCCAAAGCCTCTATAGTAGGAGCACATATATCAATGGATAGATTAAGGAGCAGAAGTGCCTGGAGGAGCCCATCCCTCCTTAAAGATACAGGGACCCACATGACGCCCAGCTATACCAAAATGACAGCAAAGGCATCCAGTGCATCCCTGCATCCAAAATAGCCAACTACACAAACAATGGCAACCATCCCAACCTATAACCAGCCTTAGCAGTAAGGTGCACATGGAACGGCAATGCACATCGCAAACAAAGGATTTCCCATCAACACTTATCAGCCAACCTGAAAAGCAACCAATTTGGCCCAGTCTAACACAGTTTGCGTTAAGTACAGAGGGTTTTGTTTGCACACATTTGCAAATACATGCCTAAGCCACAGTCCCGTGTCAAGGATCCTCTGTATACTGTGCACCTCCCACTAGATTCACTTTTGCACATGGACTCATACAAACAAAAGCTGTTTCTTTAGAATAACAAAAGGTAGGAATCTGCAACAAAGTTTCTTAAAGTCCTTGCAATGTACATTGATCACCCAGAGAAGGATGTTTTTTGGGGGTTTTTTTTTTTTTAACAAAAGTGGAGTTACTCTTTACCTCATGGTGGGAGGAGAAGACCATGACTACTATAATTACACTCTAAGAATTGTGGGGAGCACAGATTGCTTTAGGGAAAATCATAGTGACTGGAAGTAACAGGAGCTGGTCACACTGTGACTGTTCACTTTGAATACCAAATCATGAACAAATTAAATGAACAGTTATTTGCTTTTTATGTGTTTGGTTAGTTAACGTGAATCATCACTCCATTTTATTGAGGGTAGATTCTCAACTAGTTTAGTAGATCGGTCTGATTGTGATTAAAGAGGTAAGAAATCCAAAAACAAACATTTTATGATATCGCAGCTTATCAATTCTGAGATGGGATGGCTGCATTCGTTTCTTTCGTTTTTGTTTTAGGCTTCTTTTCCTTTTTTATTTACACCTGCTGATCTAGTCAATAATTGTGTTGATTTTCAACAGAACAAGCTCTCTTCCAGATGTATAAGTTTACAGGGATGAGACAAACAATTTACCACTGACAGGGGTGCTTACAATTATCCGCACTTATTTATGTAACACCTTTTGATCCCCAAAGGAACAAAACTGTTTACTGTAAGAGCTTAAAGCGGAACTACACTCCATCTGAGCACCACAAAGCAAAAATGCTATTTAATTCATTTTTAATATTCAAAGCAAACGCCCCCATCCATCCATGTTTCCATGCTTTATTTTGCTGGGAAATCACTTTGAGAAACACCTCCCTAGCATTTCTGGCCGAGGCCATCTTGAGTAAGGGCAGATGATTCAAGTAGCATTTACTTTCTGGAATCCATCTGCCCTTCGTTCACGCATGCAAGCAGAAGGGCGTGCCTAGCTGAGAAAACTCCTCCTTCTCTCCAGAAGACTACTGGGATGTATGATATCATTTGCCCAGGCAAGAAACAAGGAAGTATTGAAGACATGTAAAAAAAATTGTTTAAACAAGTAAATATGATATACATTCCTATCTATTTACTAATGCTAGCAGCATAAGAATTAAAAATAGTCAATGTTGTTTGAGAGAGTGAAGTTCGGCTTTAATAAGTGTTAGCTGGAGTTTGGCTTCATTTTGTTAGGTATTTGTAGGCACTCTAATACTGGAAGGGTGTTGCTGGCCAGATCACCAGGTGAAAACAAAGGGGAAAAAAACCTAAAAAAAAAAAGTAAAACTAATGCAGCAACTACATCTAATGATTGGCAAGCTGCAATATATTACATTTCTGCTTTTTAGTTTAATACCACTTTAAAATCAGAACTGAAGACAAACCGCTGAATACTGAGTTGAGCACATCATTACTGGCCCTTATACCCATATATGACACTTTGTAGTCAGCTGGTGACTAACATATTTCCTAGTTCAGCAAACTATAGGATTCATGTGATTGGTGAGCGGTCCAGTTGCTTGGCAATGACAACGCTGAGCCCTGCTGATCACGTCTCTCTGAGAGATGTGTCTGATCTGAGAATAAGCTGTTCATTGATTTTCAGGTGCAGGGCTGGGATCCACACAGCCAAAGGAAGTCCATTCTCTATGTTCATTAACCTTTCCTAACTATTTTTTGAAATGCAGTATTTACCATTATGGGTTACTATGTTCCTTTTTGTTGACCAAATCATGGTTTTGTCAGGATTTGACTTTAGATGATGTCAGAGGGTGGAGGGGGGTTGGGAGGATGGCCTCTTCTTGTGTCTCATTGATGGATGTTACTTTAAATGTTTTTGCACCATTGTGAGCATGCATCACATGCCTGACGAAGGAGTCCTGTGTGGCCCCAAAACATTGCACTTTTTCAATGAGGTGTATTCTCTTTGAATAATAGTGTTTGGACATATGAAGGATTCATGGGTTACCAGTTTCCAGCTAGTTGTTGCTGCTGCACCAGTTTAGTCTCTCAGCCCACTGAAGGAATGTGTGTGATGGGAATATTGTTTGTCGTTTGTTGCTCAGCAAAAAGGTTCAAGCTGAAGTCCAGAAATGAGACAAACTGTACCCTTGCAATGCCTCTCCCTTCACACTAAAAAGGGTTAAATGCTTGTTTATTCTAGGGGTACCTTTTTCCTGATACTGGGGGTGGTCCCTCCATCCATGCTTCCAGTTTCTCCACAGCATTCTCTCTAGGGCACTTTGGGCTATGTACAATGTAATTTTAATAGCCTTGCACTGTGTGTGATGATACTGGTAGACAACCCACAGCCTGTAGCAAGGGGACAACACTGGAGCCAGAAATGAGGGCATGCAACATATCCCTGCACCCCTAGACTAAAAGTGTATTTAACACTTGCAGTGTGGGGGCCCCCACTGCAAGAGTACATTTTGTCGTATTCCCAAAGTTCAGCTTTAACATGTATTGGATGAGTACAGCGTGTTTAATATAAAGTGGTTGGGGGTGGATAGCAAAGGGTTAATTCACTGGAGTGGTTTTGTAGCCCTGGCTATGGTTGTGTGCTGCTAAGTGATGTGTACCTCCTCCTCTGGCCTGACCACTTCAATGAGTGCAGTTCTTTCACAGTTATTGGCCTCCAATGGAGTTTAAAAGCAGCTGCACTACAAGGGCTCTTTCACACGGATCTGTTTTTCTTTCACATGGTTTGTGTCCGCCTTCCCATTTTTTAGGTGAACCCGATCAGAACCTCCATTCTTCTCTATGGAGTGGTGGGTATAAATGGACATGTGCCCATTTACACCCGCCAACATCTGATCTGATCCGCCAAAAAGGGACAGATGGGGATCCAATTCCCCTTCCGTCCATCTGATCGGGTCGGATGAAAACGGATAGGCAATCCTTTTTCACCCATTGAGGAGAGCGAGCTGTATATCTGCGGAGTGGACACTGTCATAGGCTTGCTCAGCGAGGATCAGTGGAGAGATCCCCCCCCCCCCGCTGAGCAAGTGAATCCGCTAAACCGGTCCGCTCCATGTGAAAGGACCCTAATAAGTATTAAAGTGATTCTAAACATAAAGTTTTTTTTAATTTATTTAAAATAACAAGCTTGTTATAATTACCTGCTCTGTGCAATGGCTTTGCACAGAGGAGCACGAGTCCTTTTCTCAGGTTCCCCACAGGTCCTCCTGGCTCCTTCCACCCCTTACCCAAGTACCCCCATAGTGGCTTGCTGTAGGGGCACTCCAGCAAGGGGTTGCTCCCGAGCCTTGCTGTCTGCGTCTATTAACACATACAGTGGGACTTTGCCCTGCCCCCCCCACTCCCTCCTCACTGGCTGTGATTGACAGCAGCAGGTGCCAATGGCTCTTGCTACTATCTCGGGGCCAGTGAGGGGGCTGGGTGCAGAGAGAGCTTCTCATCTCAAGCATGTTGCTAGATTGAGAGTAGGCTCAGGTAAGTATTAGGAGAGAGCTGGAGGAGAACTACATGCAGAAGGGTTTTTTTTTTTTAACCTCCTTGCATAGAATGCATTAAAGGTAAAAAAAAAAAAAAAAAAAAAAAGACCTTCTGCCTTTAGAACCACTGTAAGAAATGGTTTTCTTCAGTACAGAATAACTCTTCCCCTATTTTACATTATCTCTGTTATATATTATATTTCTGTTTCATCTGATTGTATTTTACTGTAGGTACTGGAAAGACCTCGACTCTCATTAAGTATGCAGAGAAGAGACCAGGTCTACGTTTTCTATATGCGACTTTCAACAAATCGATTGCAAATCATGCTTCCAGCATGTTTCCTAAAAATGTCACCTGTAAAACTTTCCATTCACTGGCTTTCCAGGAGACAGGAGTATTGTAAGTTCAATTATACAAATATTACCTACTGCTGTATATAGTTTAGAGTAATCTGCTCACATACAGTATATCTTCATAGGTAGTCCATTATTTTCAAGTCTGCTTATTACTTTATCAACTAGGTAAAGATCAATTCTACCAAAAATGTATCTTCTTTCAAGTCAAATCTATGGAAATTGACAAAAGGCAACTTTTTTGTGGTTTGGCAGATGCAACAGCTGAACTCCAGGGAAAATAAAAACCCATCCTTGCAGTGGGGCTGCCCCTTAACCGCTTCATACCGGGCACTTTTACCCCCTTCCTGCCCAGGCCAATTTTCAGGTTTCAGCGTTCTCACACTTTGAATGACAATTGCGGGTCATGCAACACTGTACCCAAATTAAAATTTTATCATTTTCTTCACACAACTAGAGCTTTCTTTTGGTGGTATTTAATTTTGGGGTTTTTATTTTTCCTAAATTAATGAAAAAAGACTGAAAAATTTTGAAAAAAAAACCCCACATTTTTTGTTTCTGTTATAAATCTTTGCACTTAAAAAATTGTTCTTCATAAATTTAGGCCAATATGTATTCTGCTACATTTCTTTGGTGAAAATAACCCAAATTAGTATTTATTATTTAGTCTGTAGGAAAGTTATAGAGTTCACAAACTATGGTATATAGATCTGAAAATTGATCAATCCTGAAGTACTGACAGCCAATTTCTAATTTCTTGAGGGCCAATCTAATTGTCTTGACAGTACAGATATCCCCCAAATGACCTCTTTTTGCAAAGTAGACAGTCCGACGTATTTCATAACAGGCATGGCGAGTTTTTTGAAGTTGTTAATTTTTTGTACTTTTTTGGAAAATAAAGAAATTAAAAAAATGATTTTCACAATTTTTTTTTTTTTACAGTGTCACCAGTGCAGTACAGCGTCATCATATAACTGGCATGGCGGTGATCAGGGACATTGACTGGTGACAGTACGAAAAAAAAAAAATTTTTTTTTTTTATTATTATTATTTTTCATTTTTTATTACATTTTTTTTTTTTTTCTAGATTTTTTTTCATATTTTATTATGACCAAAGTAGTATAATGTTACCATAGTAACATTGTACTCTTTTTGGGAAGTGATAAGTATTTTTTTTTTTTTTTTACACAATTTGCTTATAGCAAAGAAATACTTTGCTATAAGCAAGCATTTACCTGAATGAAATCAATTCATTCAGGGTTTTTTTTTTTTTTTTTTGTAATTAGTTGTGATTTGGCCATGGCTAATAACATGACACAGCTGGGCTGTGATTGGCCCAGCTTGTGCATGTGATTGCTGTGACCATTCACAGCTAGACACACTTATATACAATGGATGGCATGAATGAAGCCATCCATTGTATACAACCGTCATGTGACCTGCTGTGATTGGTCACAGCAGGTCATATGGTACTGGCAAGGGGGCCGGTACTCAGATCTGTCATCGGCCGTGTCCAAGGTACACAACCGGTGATGGATCGCACCGCAGCGCGGGCTTGCGCAATGCGTGTTCCGGAAAGGACGCCATATGGCGTCCACCCGGAGGGACGAACTGTTCACCCGGCTGCCTTCTGGCTATAGGACGGGCGGCAACTGGTTAACTGCAAGGGTTAAATGATCATTTAGGTCTAGGGGACGGGAAAAGACATTTTACTTACCAAAACTTCTATTCCAGTGGTGGACTGTTCCTTGGAGTCCTCTTATCCCAGTATAGGGCTATAGGATCTGCATTGGTCTTGATAAATCAGAGGACCTGCAACCACCAGGCCATAGAGGTTGCAAGGGAGTAGTCTTTCAGCACGGAGGAACGGGTAAATTGTACTGTTTTTCTTATTCTCCTAAACCTTAACAGACATTTATCCTTGCAGTGTGGGGCCATCCCCACTTCAGGGGAGCATTTTTAGTTTCTCTGGAGTGCAGCTTTAAAATGGCTGTGATGCCTCGCCACCTCTATCTACTAAAATCCCGCCTATCGCAGTACCCTCATTATCCCTTAAAATAATAGAACAGGGTTCACTACATTTTTGTGTTCACATGCTCAACTTGCCTTTACTGGTCTATACTTGCCCTACCAAGGGCCTGGGCATTCTATACCTCACTTGGATAAATGATTGATTTGGGCATACCTACCACAAACTGGACAGGACTTTTCCTACTCTGGAGACCCCCAGAATACTATACATCCTGACTTGAACATCCCACCATTGGACCCACCCTGTATATTGTGTCCTAATATTTTTCACAATCCCTTATTTCCCCCACCCCCTGTTCCATTACACTTATAGGACACCATGCATTTTAACCAGGCCTAAAAGACAACATATTATTTTAGTGGAGAACAGCACACAAATTCAACACGCAAGAAAAGGATCTATTCTGACCTGTTAACATCATGCAACATTCCAGTGCCCTTAGATTTTAGAGGATTCTTTAAAAATCACACTTAATCACTGCTCTCTCACCATCTATCTCCTTCAGTTATCACAATATCTATGTAAAAGAAAAGGCTCAATAAGAGGTCACCTATCAGAATCAAGGATCAAGGGATCCTCCTCCCAGGAACAAGCCGACCACACTATGTACTTTCCCACAGAGCTTTTGTAGCAAACACCTAGAAACTGACTACAAATTCCTCACCTGTCACATTAATGGTGAGGCAATGTTGTACATCTTCTGAACATGCTTAAATAAAACTGGTATTCAATTAAAAAATGTAATACGTTGCAACTTGCCAATCATTAGATGTGGTGGCTGCTTTCATTTTCATTTTTTAGGCTTTTTTTTTCCCTTTGTTTTCACCTGGTTATCTGGGCAATAACACCCCTGCCTGCTGTCCAATATAGACACCTTTGGACAGCAGCATCGTTAGTGTGGGCGGAGGGGAGTATTACATGCATTAGCAGATTTAAACACCCCAACGTGAAGCCAACCTCAAGCTTATGTTTTATAAGCAGTTATAGCAAACCGTTTTTTTTTTTCTTTCCTGTTTGGGATAAAGGGTTTACATAAATTAAAGCTTTTCGTTGTAAGCACCCCTGTCAGTGGTAAATGGGTTGTTTCAGCCTTCTAACTGCTACAGCGTGTTCTGTTTAAAAACAAAAGACTTACTGGCTGGATCACCAGTTTAAAAAAAAAAAAAATCAAAACTAATGCAACCATCACATCTAAGAATTGATAAGCTGCAATATAATAAATATTTGGTTTTGGGTTTAATACTGCTTTTATTGCCCTAGGTCTGAGGTGTGCTGGATCATCTGCATGCATTTGGCATGTAATTTTGAGAGGAAAAAACCCTAGTCCTCCTACCAGGGGCGGGCTGACAACTCATGGGGCCCCGGGCAATAGGGGATCATGGGGCTCCTGTGTCCTTGCCCAAACTCAAAAAAGCCTATGAAAAAGGTACCAGGAGCATCTCATGGGGCCCCCTACTGACCCTGGGTCCTCAGAGCAGTGCCTGAGTTTCCAAATGGTCAGTCCGCCCCTGCCTCAACCCCCCTGATGAAAAAAAAGCCTAGAAATAATCCCTTATATGTTTAACAAATGCAGTAGGCCTACATTTCGGCCCTCTGAAAAACTTTCCAAATATTGTGCAATGGTTAATGAAAATCAATGAGTTTATGATAATGGAAGACCTAACATTATCTCAGAAAGGCACAAATTTAAAAATATTTGGTTTCTACTGGTTCAATTTACCAAACTTCACCTTGATATGGTCTTCACCTCAGCTATAGAACCCACCAGGATGAATTGTCCTCTTTGGACCTACCCTAAAGTGGCATTAATCATTTTTCTTGTTTGACCAGTGGGTTGAATAAAAAAAAAAAAAAAAAAATGATCGGACACTCGATGTGGATGGGGAATCACCCTGAGCTATTGTATTCCGCCAGGGCAGAATACGATTAGTTTTGCCGACTATAGTTGGCGGCATTCATCATTTGCGAAAAACCCCACAGGCTGGTTGTACACAAGTCGATCACTTGTGTGCAACCATATTCTAGCCCATACCAGGATCAAAATTTGGTAGGTCTCTGCTGAACCAGCTGAATTGTGAGCCATGTATGGCCAGCTTAAGGCTGATCCCAGGATGGAGCACCATTCTTCTCATTTCCAGCCTATCTCTCCCCATCCCCACCATTTCTCACATCTTATACTTCTCTCACAAACAAAATTAAGTAAAATGGACCACAAACAATGGGGCACAAATTTAATTTTTCTCAGCTCATTGCTGAACAAGTTGAACATAGAATCTTTGCACATATTGCTTATGCACTATTTTCTATCTTGCCATCTAGGGACATTCTCCAATGTGCTGTTTGGTATTGTCATTGACTGTGTATTGCCATCCAATGGGTGGTACAAGCGCCTTATTAGTAGGATAAAAGGCACAAACAAACCAATAAACCTAAAGAAATAGCAATGTGTGTGTGGGATTAGTGCGATGGAGAAATAAAATGAAATAACCACTAAGTTCAAGGTACAAGAAAAATCCTATTATCCTGCAATTCATTATCGGGATAAATGTAATATGAATCTGGTTTCCGTGTGATAATGATAAAGCAATGCGCACTCACCGGCGCGCATAATAAATGTATCCAGATGTCATCTGAATGGTTTAAAAAGTTGGGTAAAAATGATGGTATATGGTGGGTGTCTGATTCGGCTGGGTAACTCACCTGATCTATTTCTCTAACATTATCCCATAGTGTACATATTTAGCATCATGCAGTTCATGCTTGTTAAGAAAGCTCCACGTTGCTCTGGTGGCGTGACGTCACGGCGTGGTGTGGCTCCTCTTACGCGTATCTGCTCCGGCACGTCTTCAGAGGGTGGTCGCCAAGACTGTCTGCAACATACTTAGGGTAAAAGCTAGATGCCTGACCAAAAGATTCTTAAAACCGAACTTTACCCATAACAACTTGATGATAAAAAATAATGTTCTTTAGCAAGGAACATACATTCCACATTAATAATTATGCTACTAAAATTAGTGTATTCTTGCTGGAGGCTTCCATTTTGCTGAAGCCTAATGCCCCTGAGCAGCAGTAAATCTGTAGGCTGTCAGCAGATCGACCTCTACATTTTATCAGAGTGCTAAAAAAATAAAGAGCAACTGAAAATGTGCAGAGCAGCTTGAGGCAGTGTATTACTAGATTTTAAACAATATAGGCACTTATTTTTAATGCTTATATAACTAGACCTGCAAAAGGGGCCAGCATGAAGTGATCTAGCAGGACATAATTTTCTGACTAAAGTTCCACTTTAATATTGGCACTTGGGTTTTAGACATGTTTGGAATGCCATAAAATTACCATCCTAGGTTTGGTTGCATTTTGTTTAGGGCTATGAAGGGTCATAGTGTGTGTCTGTTTTATTTATATATACTATATTGCCAAAAGTATTGGGACGCCTGCCTTTACACGCACAGTCTTAGTCTGCAGGGTTCAATATTGAGTTGGCCCACCTTTTGCAGCTATAACAGCTTCAACTCTTCTGAGACGCTTTGCATTGCAGTTGGTGATGTAAGGCTTGGATGCAGCTGCTTGGCCATGGAGACCCATTCCATGAAGCTTTCTACGCAGTGTTGTACTAATCTGAAGGCCACACGAAATTTGGAGGTCTTTAGCTATTGACTCTGAAGACAGTTGGCGACTTCTGCGCACATGCTCTGACCCCGCTCTGCCATTTTACGTGGCCTACCACTTCATGGCTGAGTTGCTTTTGTTCCCAGTTGCTTCTACTTTGTTATTATACCACTAACTGTTGACCATGAAATACACTGAAAAAAAATATTAAAGGAACACTTTTTAATCAGAGTATAGCATCAAGTCCAGTTAAACTCCTGGGGTATTGATCTGGTCAGTTAAGCAGCAGAGGGGTTGTTAATCAGTTTCAACTGCTTTGATGTTAATGAAATTAACAGGTGCACTAGATGGGCAACATTGAGATGACCCCCAAAACAGGAACGGTTTTACAGGTGGAGGCCACTGACATTTTTTTCCCTTCTCATCTCTTCTGACTGTTTTTCACTAGTTTTGCATTTGGCTAGGGTAAGTGTCACTACTGGTAGCATGAGGCGATACCTGGACCATACAGAACTTGCAAGGAAGCTCCGCCAGGATGGGTGCCATTGCCAGAAAGTTTTCTGTGTCTCACAGTCTACATGGAGGAGATTCCAGGAGACAGGCAATTACTCTAGGAGAGCTGAACAGGGCCATAGAAGGTCCTTAACCCATCAGCAGACCGGTCCAATCTGCTCCTTTGTGCAAGGAGGAACAGGATGAGTACTGCCAGAGCCCTACAAAATACCTCCAGCATGCACTGGTGTGAATGTCTCTGACCAAACAATCAGAAACAAACTTCAAGAGGGTGCTGAGGGTCCGACATCCTCTAGTGGGCCCTGTGCTCACTGCATAGAGCTCAATTGGTCTCACCAGAAACATGGAGGAGATTCCTGAGTACAGTGACAGAGACTGGAGAAGGCAGAACGGTATTACTCTGACCGTTTCGGTGGTGGGTCGAGATGGTCTGGGGAGGAACAGAGGGACACCATAGAAGGTCCTCGGGATGAAAACCCATCAGATTCTACGCTGGTGCAGTGGGTCCTGGATTCCTTCTTGTGCACTTGCTCGGCCTCATTTGGCAAGAGTATGCAGGCAGTTCCAGAATTGAATGGCCCCCAGCGCCCTAAACAAAATGGTTCGGACCTCCAGGGCAGACTGTCCTAGCTCAGTGTGCCCTGTCCTCTGAAATACACCAAACACATCCGTCGTCTCAGAAGCACACGTTGACTTCACAAGAGGGTGACCTGAGGAGTTGCTACAATGAAATTTCAGCAAAATGGAATAGCCTGATGCATAATTTTTTCACTTATTTTCGAGGTGTCTTTGAATTCTGCCTCTGTAGATTGATAATTTTCATTTCCATCAAACGATGGGGCATCCTTATTTTCCTAACACATTACTCTGTCCATATCAGTATACTGTAGATATCCAGCATGATATTTTTCCCCATTAAGATCTGATGTTTCAAAGTTTTCCTTTACTTTTTTTGAGCAGTGTATTTAGTAGCAAGGAAATTTCACGGATGGACTTACTGCAGTGGTGGCAACCTATCACGGTACCACACTTGAGCTCCTGAGAGCGGTCCATTCTTTCACAAATGTTTGTAGAAGCAGTCTGCATGCCTAGGTGCTTGATTTTATACACCTGTAGCCACGGAGGTGATGAACACCTGAATCCAATGATTTGGGGGGGTGTCCCAATACTTTTGGCAGTTTTAGTGTAGTTCTCAGTGGAGCTCATATTACTGCCATGTAAAATACAATGAAGAAATAGAATATGAGCCTTGAATTGTGGAAGTCCCGGCATCCACAGAGTGTAACAATTTACTAAAACTAAATGGGTGATTTCATTGTGCTTTAGCCTCTGTTTTTGTCTCACAGATATTCTGAAAGGAAAAAGATAAACCCTTCCGGACTTACAGCATACACTGTCAATTTTGTTCTTCCTGATGGCCAGGCAGGCTTTGTCAGAGCAAAACTAGTTGTTAAGACTTTAGAGCATTTTTTCGCATCTGCAGATCCTGAAATTGAGGTAGACCATGTTCCTATATGGTGCAAAAATAATCGTGGAGAACGAGAGCTGGTGTCTGCAGACCTACAACAGGTGACTATTTTCACCCTTCAAAGAACTGACCTAAAGGTTGATTTTCTAAGCTCTCCTTGTATTGTTGGTACAGTAAGAATATAACAAAAGTGATAGTTGCACATGAAATGGGGAAAAAAAACAATTGAAACATATAAAAAAAGATATATAAAGAAAACTCTTTGTAACTGAACTCCAGAAAAAAACACCCTTTGGTGCAATTGTATATTGCTTTAAAAATAATGTAATATGTTTTTACATTCAACTGTCATAGCTATTTGAAACTCAGATTGGAGACCCTCTCCAATCTGCGTTTCAAGTAGTTATGGCAGTTGAATGTAAAAATTATAATTTATTATATTATGTTTTTACACCCTGGTAGGAGATTCTGCTTCTTGCACATGTGCTGACAGAAAGAGAGAGCAGAGTGAGTAGAACTCATGACTGCTCACTATGTTGCTGCCTCTTTAATATTCAGTCAGCAGGCAGGAAAGTGATATCCTAGAACTCTAAAGGCTTGTTCAGATGTGCAGCAGTCATTGCCGCCCCTCTTAAAAGCATTCTTTGGTAGATTAATCTTTGGAGGACAGTTGAAAGGCAGCTGGTAGGTGATATGTCACCTCCTCACAACCCTTTTAGCCTTCAAAGGGCCAAATCACTGTGTCGCATGTGTATTACAGGCAGTTACTGGGCGATGCAATGCAGCTCTTTGTAACTTCAATAGGTCGCTTTTGGCAATTGCACTTCCCACTGCAGCAAGAGGTTTAATTTTTGCCATGGCATGTGTACAGCCCCGAGCAGCTGCATGTTCTGGTGTAGGTGGCCAGTTGGGGGGTAAAACCACCCCTCAACCGTATGCTTTTACTGTCCCCTGTCTGCTTGTGTCAGTGATCCATAACAAAGAAAGTGGTGTCACCTTCCTAGCAGTGCTGTCTAGCAGAGGAGTATTTAAGTGTATGTATAGTCAACACTTTGTTTTGGTAGAGTGGACAAGGGTTCAAATCCTTGTCACGTTTTTATTTCTGTGTCCCTTTAGGGAGATTCAAAATATCACCAAACAAAGAATGTTAGAAAATCCCAAATTTTACAGTTGTCCCCGACACCGGATATACAGTAAATCTTCCAATACATACACCTGTTCTGAGAATAATTCCCTCATTTTGTAGAGATTTTCTCTAAATTCCTGTTCTGTCTTCACGTCAGGAAATTAGGAGAAATCTGAACAGGCAGCAAACTGATAAACTGACTTGTTTTAACTTCTCTCTACTCTTACCCAAAACTGCAAAAAAAATAAATTGGATATACATACACTTTATTCACAAAGGTACATTCTTATAAATCTATAGCAGGCTTCTGTATATTTTAACTATGTATTTGATGGTTTGCCTGAAGTTCAGCATTAATACATTAGAAAGGTGTTCACTGAACCTTTGTAGATGTTCATTTATTTTTTCCATCAGATTTGTATAATTCCCTGTTTGAATGTAAATGAATACATGCATGAATGTGCATAAATAGCTACTGTGTTTCCTATAGTTCACAGTGGGAGAAGCTAATAAAATTTGGAAAAGAATGAAAAGTCTTGAAGAATCCAGAGAGCTTGCTTACAAAATGACACATGATGGTGAGATTGCTATATCATCTAACATGAGACAATTTGAGAAAATAGAGACCATGAAATCCTTATTCTGACAAATGTATCTCCTTTGTGTGTAGAATATGTATCCAAGGTACAGCCTGTAGATCTTGTCCACAAAATATGTGTCTAGTTCTCCAAAATATATACCTGCTAGGTATGTGTTAAGCCAAGTGCATTTTGCGTTTTGAATAGAGTGAGGAAGAATTAGAATTCCTGTTTAGTTTTTACCACTGTTATGGACACTATTGGAGAGACCTATCCTCACTTCCTCTCTTACTGACGTAAAATAACGAAAAATGTGCAACCAAGATACAGATAGAAAAGATATCTGACAGAGCTACTAAAGAAAAGCAAAAAACATTTTTCTTTTCTTGTCTATTGAGGAACACAGGAAGTCCTAAACCTTTGGTTTGTACTGATACCTACAGGAAGATTGAACCCTGGCCACAATACCAGTATGCCTCAGGTTTTGCTAGTGTCCTAGGAAGATGGCCACCTTTTCTTCAGCACTGCTTTTCTTTAAAGACTAACCTTTTAATTTCCCTAGCATTTTTTTTTCTGCACTTTTTCTTCCATCAAGACTCTTCTCTATACCTCTGCTGGATGTTTTCCCTCTGATTTGTGCCTATACCACATGGTTATCTTTAGCTTGGATTTTGGACCAGATCACATCCAGACTATGCTGGACTGGATATTGCTGGGATAACCTGGAAGTAATCTTAGGATACTGGGCTCCATGTGGGCACTTTGCCGACTCTTTTTCAGCTAATATACACTCACTGGCCACTATTAGGTACATCTTGCTAGTGCCAATAAAAATATCCCCCACACCAATAAACCACCACCAGCTTGAACCATTGAGACAAGGCAGGATGGATCAATGCTTTCATGTTGTTTATGCCAAATTCTGACCCCCACCATCTGAATGTCCCAGCAACCAGTCTGCCCATTCTCCTCTGACATCAACAAGGCATTTTTGTCCACACAACTGCCGCTCACTGACTATTTTCTCTTTTTCGGTTGTGTATGAAAATCCTAGTAGATCAGCAGTTTTTGAAATACTTTGACCAGCCTGTCTGGCACAGACAACCCTGCCACGTTCAAAGTAACTTAAATCCCCTTTCTGATGCTCGGTTTGAACTTCACAAGTTGTCTTCACCAGGTCTACGTACCTAAATGCACTGAGTTGCTGCCATGTGATTGGCTGATTAGCAATTTGTGTTACCAAGCAATTGAACAGATGTACCTAATAAAGTGGCTGGTGAATGTAGATGTGGAGTGCTTTCCAGGTCCAGAGTCCCTGGCATTGTCTCTGCGCTTTCCCCTGTTTACCCTGTCTCTGACGACTCAGAAGCTTCCGTCATTTTTATCAATCTTTGGGTGGCATTGTTACCTCTTTCCTGCTGGCTTTGCCACGGAAGGGGTTTTAATGCTGTGGGACTGAGCACTGATGACATCCGGTGAGTAGAGTGTCATATGCATTCTGTTTTTTTCTTTCCCAGCATACATTGTCAAGGAAGCATCTCACCCTGGGTCCACATAGAACTTTGATTTTTTTCCTTATCCCTGCCTAAAGTGATTTTGGCCACCTCCGGCCATCTGACCCTCTGGTCATTGCCCTACATCAGGTACCTGCTGTCTGGGTTTCTTTAGTACTTAAGGCCTTGCCTGTTACCAAGAGCTTGAGCTTTGACTAACCACACTGCAGCCAGAATATGTCTGATTCTAGATACAGGAGAAGAGGGGTGGACAATCCCACTGTACCAGGTACCCCAGCTGACTTTCTACTGACAGGTTAGGGACTGCTTGCAATGCGCCCACTAATGGTGCTGACGTCTGCAGCCTGGAGTCATGCTGTTTTCTGCTGTTAGAGGATATTCTGACCTCTGAAGCTTTCCTCGGGTGTAGCTGGTTCCTCTGCCCTTTCATACAAGATTGTATGACTCTCATCTCAGAGACCACAAGTGCTTTCCTGTGCCCTCTCCAGACGATTTTGTATGGACTGTAGGATGTTTAGTGTGCACAGAGCAGTTAACATGACCACAACTAACCTGCATTGCCCATTCCAAACTAATGGAAGTGAGGGGGGGAAAAGAAAAGGTTCAGGATGTTATGAGGGCATGGATGTGTCCAGTCATGGCGTCCTCAGCATAGACTCTGTCTGACGGTGGGCTTTACAGAGGCATTATAAGAGGCCGTTGAAAGGCACGCATACGCTGTATATTCATCTGTGAAATGTGACTGCATTGGATGAAGGCTTTTAATTGTTGCTCTAATAAACTGTATCACACTAGGATGGTTGAGCACGCTCTCTTTCTTGTGTTGTTTCAGGCACCTTTCCACCCCCCCCACCCCCATGGAGTCTATAGAGAGCTGCAGCGCCCAACATTTTGGACATTGATTTAGAACAACCCTTTAACCACAGTGGTGATTTAGACCAACGCAGCAGCTAGTTTTGTTTGTATATACTTCTGCTTTATCAGGACCTGTGAAAAAGGCGAAAAAAAAACAATTAGTTGAATGCTCAAGAATTTCCATTACTCTGAATTACCCAGGAGAATGTACAATAGAGGATAAAAAGCAGGGAAGTATTAGTGTCAGTGACCAACTGGCGGTAGCCTCTAGCAGCCCACTGGCCGGAATCCCTCAGGGCGCGGAGTCTAAGCCTCAGTCTGCTGGTTCACCAGAGCCCCTGATGGTGGGGATGGACTTGAAACAGCCTGAGACCAGGTCACGACCCCCGAGGAACACCAGCTGTGGTAGAGGCGGAAGCCAATGGCGTAGAGCAGGTGAGAGCCAAACGTGAAGAGGTATGCGTGGTCAGACGGGCCGGGTCAGTAACAGCGGAGCAGACAGTGCAGAGCGGCAGGCAGAAGAATAACAGGTCACAAGCCGGGTTCAGTAACAGGAGGTCAGGCAATCAGGAAGAGGTAGAGAATAGTCAGGACTTAGCCAGGGGTCAGAGCAGGAGAAAGCAGCAGTATCAGGAACAGGCTTGGGTCGGCAGCAAGGTATCAACACAGGAGTAATCAGGAACACAGGAACGGGACAAGACCAGAAGGCGATTTGGAGATGCACAGGGCAGGTTTAAATAAGCCGCCCTCTGCTCTGATTGGTGCGGCCGCGATCGCTAGTGCGCATGCGCGGCCGCCGCCGCGATCGCCTAGGATTCAGTGCTCGTTGGATCGGACAAATCGGCGCTCTGCGCATGTGCGCACCGCCGAGGCGCCGGGATCCCTGACACTTAGGCAGGTCATAGATTATACAAGTTCTTTCCTTCCACCACAGGTGAAAGGCAAGAAAATTAATTCCCGCACCAACACAGTCAGTGTTGATGGAAGAGTCCCTCCCGCAGCACTAGTGTGTTCTTCTGGCTGGGAACCTTCTTTGCTGGCAGAACAATTATTAGTGTTGCCGGCAACAATAATTGTTCAGCAAAAAAAACAATAGGCTGGTTGTACATAGGTCAATCGAGCAACTTGTGTACAACCAGGGTGCTCACACATGTCCGGTCCTTGCTAAACTGGCCGAATTTCAATCCTCGTATAGCTGGCTTTAACCACCACCTAGACATATTGCAAAATAACAGATTTTATTTCTGTTCAGGAAGTAAATCTTGCAGTATGGCCTTTAAAGTCTTATTTGTGAATATTGAGAGAGTGAAGTACTTCCAAGAATCATGCCATGTTTTACTCCTAGTATGTAATCCTGTATTTACTGACATTAAAATGTTCAAACTGCACTGCTTGGCTACACCTGTAGAGATGCAAAGAGTACTGCAGATAACTAATGGTGACTCTCCATTTGCTTATCTCCTTTTCTCCTCGGGCTACGGAATCCTCCTGCATCAAAGAGGAGAACTACACCCCTGTACTATACCCCAGAGAAGGCGAGGGTGTAGGGAGATTTGTACTCCCCCCACTGCATCTCTAGGTGACTCAGACATAGCATTGTTCAAGCTTATGGTATCAAGGATCGGGTTTATCCCCTTTCCTGTTAAGACTCACTCCACTATGACTGTGTGTGCCTTTTGAGGTTTTTGGCACAGGCCGTTTTTTCCAGATTTGCAAGGCCTCTATTTGGTCTTCTGTTCTTAAAGTGTTACTAAACCCACAACAGTAGAATCAGTCTGTATATGCTGTAAAGCATGCTTGTTATACTCACTGTGGAACCTAAGGGGTTAATCCTCTGTATTGTGTAAAAAAAAAAAAAAAAAGATGTTTGAGCCTGTCTTTTCTGATCCTCCCCCTCTTATCTCCTGATAAGACATATCATGTGGAGTCACTCTGCACATGCTCAGTTTTGGTGTGTATTGCTAGAGAGATTTTTTCCATGTAATCAGCACAGGGCCAATCGGCACTGTCCAGACATAGGTCAGAGGTTCTGCATCCTATTAGGACCAAAAGAATACTCCTCCTACAAGCTTTAACCAGTACTCTGCTGAACACTGATAGAAGTCACAAGACTGCTCTTAGTCTAGTTCACACCCATGCAGGCTGCATTTGAGGCGCCTCTGCATTGCGTTTTGGAACTTTTTTGCTGCTTTTTTTTATGCGTTTTGGGTTGTTTTTCTTTTCTTTTTTCTTTTTTTTTACTTGTTGCTAGGCAGATTTAACAGTCCCCAGTCCATCTGCTGATAGAACACAGCCTTGGAGGCAAGGTGCACATGCTCAGTTTGGTGGGGGGTTTTTTCTTTTTTTATTGGGAGAGTGCATGTGATAAGCACAGGGCCAATCAGCATTGTCCAGACAGAGGGTCAGGGATTCTGCAGCCTCATAGGACAATTGGGGGAGAATGAAAACTCCTCCTACAAGATTTAACCAGTGCTCTGCTGGACACTGATAGAAGTCACAAGACTGCTCTAACTGCTTATGAGAAAAGGTATTTAGCTGTTTATATTTACTAAAATAATTGCATTTCGTGTTCTGTATACTGTGGGAGATCAGATATAGTGAATGCAGGGTCCTGGGTTTAGAAACGCTTTAAGTTTTCAAGGTTCTACCAAGTGGACTTTCAAGCTCATCTCATCTCAGCGTTTGGTGAAAGATCTTTCAGGGAGCTCCTTGATCTGCAGACAGTGCCTATTGTTGTTATATTGGACCTGTTGCCCACCCCTCAGCTGGATTGCCTTTGGATGTTCCAACCGTCTAAGACTTCCTGTGTCTCTCAGTTAGAACTAGAACTACACTGCTTCAAAGCACCACAAACCAAAAACGCTAATTAATGTTTAATATTCAAAGCAAACTCACCTATATCTTCATGCTTTATTTTGCTGAGAAATCGCTTTGAAAAACACCCCTGGCATTTCTGTTTTGACCAACTTGCATAAGGGCAGATAATTCATGTAGCACTTCCTGGAATCCACCTGCCCTTAGCTCAGGCATGCAGGTAGAAGGGTGTGCTTAGCTGAGAAAACCCCTCCTCCCCTCCTGAAGACACCTGGGATGTGTGACATAATTTGCCTAGGCCTGTAAATCGGGAAGTAACTGAAGAAATGTAAAAACAAAGTGTAAAACAAATTAATATACTATACTTTTCCTGTCTATTTACTAATGCTAGCAGTATTAGGATTAGAAATGGTCAACGCTGATTGAGAGTGTGAAGCTCCTCTTTAATGAGAGAGAAATGTTCACCATAATCCTTTTCTTGGAGTCCATTGAGGAACTCCAGTCCCACCTGTCTGTGTTTATGGTCATGCTTTGGTACCACTTTGCTACAAAATGGAGGCATACTAGTAGTTGGGGTTATACCCTGGGCTGGCCTAAGGTAAATTTATTTGGCAGTGTATAGTACTCCAGTAGGCAGCAGAATAAGCAATTTAAGACTTCCTGTGTCCCTCAGTGGGCCCCAACAAAAGGATATTATGGTGGGTATCAGTCCCATTGCTAATGCTTTTGTTGCTGTTAGACTTGTTCTTACTTGCTGTCTAGTAAAATCCTGTCATTAGGCAGGAAGTGAGGGTAAATATCTGCCATGGAAAACACCTGGAGGGGTATAGGGGCCAGACTCCTTCCCACCGACTATGGACCCAGGACTAATGAGACCCCCCTCCTATTGGGGTTACAAGAAACCTTTTCCCCAAGAGGGTTATAGCACTACCTTGGGTACCTGGCTGGCTGTGAATTATACCAGCTACCATTTCCATGCAATTAGGGCATGGAGGGACTTTTTCTGGGACCCCTTGGCATACTGTGCATAGTGGAAATATGTGCAGGGGGTGAATTCCAGCATATGTGGGGTTAAGAAACTTTACTTTCTGTTACAGATTTCCTGGCATCAACTATTATTTTGCTGTAATTAGGTTTAGGTGATAAGCTTTCACTGTGTTTACTCACCTCCAGAGTCCAGATTACTAGGTGCTGGGAAGGAATCCATTGTTTTCTTGTGTTTGATGGTTTATGTAAGGTTTTTGTGTATAAATGCTGTGCTGTTTGTTAGTAAAGTCAGTCCTTGTTTTACTCCAACATTGTTCTATCTGATGTTTTGGGGTATGTTTTGCTATATTCTGGTTCCAGTGTGGAGGAAGCTGTAGTTTGGCGGAGATACCCAGTCGGGGCATCAGGCAGTCCGTCACAATACCGATTCGTGGATAACAGTAAAAACTTTCCAGGATTTCTAATCCTTTACTGTTCTATTCAAAACATTTTGGCTGGATATACGCTTTAGTGTAAATGGCCAACGGGTAAAAATAGAGGCTGAGCTGTTTCTTTTTTTTTCCCATAGCTCCTGGATCTCTGGAATTAAAAATTGTAAATACATATTTTAACAATGCCAGAGTAATTTGGTGCACATAATGATGAGCAATATGGGAAAATGTACACTAAGGAGCATAGCAAAAATCAAAGGGCGAGATTTACTAAAACTGGAGAATGGCTACCATGCACAGCTGCACCAGATTTTGCAATCAGCTTCTAAGGCCCCTTCACACGGGCATTCCGTATGTTCGTTTTTCATCTGTTGTTTACAGATGACAGACTGACACCCATGTATTTCTGTGGACTAGCAGATGTAAACGGATGATCATCTGTTTACATCCGTTAATGTTCACATCCGTTTTTTTTTTTTTAACTGAAAAACACCCTATTTTCGTTAAAAAAAAACGGAAGAAAAACGAGTAAAAAAATAGATGTAAATGGATGAAAACTGATGTAAATGGAGGAAAACTGATGTAAACGGACAAAAAAACATTTAAATGGATGTAAACAAACAAAAAAAAATGATGAAAAACGGATGTAAACTGATGAAAAATGGATGTGAACTGATCCGTATTTTCTTGGAAAAAATGTGACTTAACTGATAAAAAAGACGGAACGCCCGTGTGAAAGGGGCCTAACTTCATCTTGTTCAATTAAGCATTGACAAAAATCCTGGAAGCTGATTGGTTTCTATGCAGAGCTGCACCAGATTTTGCATTCTCTGGTTTTAGTAAATCAACGCCAATGTGTATAATTCAATGTGATCTAGTTATAATCTGACTTTTTTTTTATTCACACGCAGGTTATCTGAAGCTGTGGCAGCTCCGTAGGCCCAATCTCTCTTCTTATGATGCTATATTTGTTGATGAAGCACAGGACTGCACACCATGTAAGTTAAGTTCCATGTTCCGAATGTTTTTCATCTGCCAAAGTACCACAAGCCTAAACTCCTCTACAAGATGAAGACCAATAAGTATCTCTCCTAATGTATATTTAAACCCAAACAAAAATGTAATCTATTGTATTTTAGCATATCTTAGTTGTTATGGCTGCATGGTTTTACTTTTTCAGGGTTTTTCCTTTATTTCCATCTGGTGATCTTGTGACTAACACTCTTCTGATCTAGGGTGACCATGCCCATTCACTAGGCTGCTCTCCTGATTTTTTCTACAAACATATCTTCCTCTCCATCTCCATTACATTGGAGTTGGGGGAATTAGTAGATTTCAGAATATACAATGTAGCCTGAAAGGAAGATGAAATTGTTTGTACTTTTAATGCACAGAAAGTGACAAGAACAATACATTTCTGGCAAGATCAACAGGTATTTTCTGTACTTACTGGAAATGTTTTTAACATGAAAATGAAAATTAATGCAGCCAACAGATCAAAGTACTGGTAAGTTGCAAATGATTAGTTTTTGAGTTCTTGAGTTTTGATATCCTATAATCGCTATGACATGTAGGGGATAGTAAATGCGCAAGCAATGCACACCTCAAAAACCTAAGGGGAATTCCAGGCAAAGCAGGTTTATAAAAATTCATGCTCAGGTTTTCAAAAGAGCGATAGTCCTATTTAGGAAGTTTATTGCTAATAATAATTCTTCACATGTAAACATTTTGGCTGTTTTCACTCACTGGTTTCCTGCGGCGTGCCTCCCCTCTGTAGAAATCTTGCGCCTGTGCAGCAATCACACTAGGCATTGCACTTTGTTACAAGCTGATAATGCTCAAAGACTCCTGGGATTTATGATGTAAGTATTCCAGGAGTCAACGAGAATACACAGATAATGTAAATCGCCTAGGTGGCCAAATGTGGAAGCCATGGGATTTTTCAAAAACAAAAGGTATTTATGCAAAAAAATAACACATGGCACTATCCAAACATAACACACAACTGCATGATAATTAAGCCATACTTTATTTAAAGCAAATATTCACCCTCTTTCTAAAGTGTAAGGTAATGTTTATTTTGTGAAGACATTCGTATTCCCTTTTAACAGAATAAGAGGTATATTAGCAAATTTAACAGAAAAAGAATGTTTTATAAATTTGTTTACCCAGTGATTTAGGGGTCAATTCACTAAGCGTTAAATAACAACTGAAAAAATGCGGTAAAATAACACTTGCAGTACGTTTTTTGCAAATGTGCGATTAACTAAGAATTGTGCGGAAATAACTCGTGCAGTAAAATATCGTTATTGGGGTAATTAACGCATATTTTCATACAGTAATTTATCACACGGTAGCTGGTTGTTTAAGGAAGCCAACCGCAGTGTCCTTAACAACAGATGACTCATCAGCTTTCAGCGAGTGTCCCACTGACAGCTGAGTGTAAACTAAACATGCCAGCAATTACAAATGATGAAAAAAAACAACGTGGGGTCCCCCCCATCCATACCAGGCACTTTGGGTCTGGAATGGATTTTAAGGAAAAACCCACACCAAAATTAAAAGAAAAAAAAATGGCCCTTAGGTCTGGTAGGGATTTTGTGGGAACCCCACACCAAAATGAAAAATGAATGCCATGAGGGGGGAACCCACGCCAATTTTCTTTATATTTTGGTGTGGGGTTCTCCTTAATATCCATACCAGACCCCTAGTGGTTGGGGGGGACCCCTCGCTGCATCTGAAAACATACCACCAGCAACACCCTGGGTAATAAACATCACATCTTTTTTTACTTTCAGTTCTGTTTGTGAATTGGACTTAACAGCTTACCGCATGTTTTTTTTGCAGTATTTACGAACACATTTTTAATTTTGCATTAAATCCATCAGAATTGTTTTTTGGGGTTTTTTTGTGAATTGGACATTTTGTTACTGCATGCTATAATTTATGCACGAGTCACATGACCATGTTATCGCATGTGGTAACCTTTAGTGAATTGACCCCTTAGTTTTTTAATGTTTTTATGAGCTGTAAGTTTTATAGATATTTGTATAGGGAATTTCAATATAGTGAGTTCATATTGAGAGAGTAGAAAATAATGAGAGTGAATCTCCCTAAAAGGGACACAGACTGTAATAAAACCTAACAGGGGTTTTAAACCCTTACCACTTTATACAATCAAGAAAATGTGTTCGCTTTAGCTATACTTTAACACAATATTGTTTATCAATATGATATTTACATTTTGTTTTTTCTTTTCTTTTACAGCTGTTTACATTATAAATCTTCATATGTGTTTTAGACACATATGTTTGAACCCCATCTATGTGCTAAATGCAAGACCTATCACTTTGTGCCTCTTTTTACCTGATGTGTGCATTATATTTTCTTTAATAGTAATAGAACAAAGCTTATACTAATTTAGATGGAACAAAATGGTATAAGGTCTAAAAATAATTGGAAGCTACTTAACATGTCTATAAAAATGAAGATTATTTCACTTTCACTATTCATTTACTTGCAGCTATTATAAAGGTTGTCCTTTCTCAAACATGTGGCAAAATATTTGTTGGGGATCCACACCAGCAAATCTACACCTTCCGTGGAGCAGTGAATGCACTTTGTAAAGTGCCACACACTCATATCTTCTATCTTACCCAGGTTAGTTTCTACCAATCATGATATTCCTTATCTGCTAATAAATGACTACATTAGTCACTGCTTGTAAAGCTTTAGAATCATCTTTACACGCTTGGTAACTGTAAAATGCCTGTATTTTATTGATCTCTATGGAAGTTGAACAACTTGAAAAGTTAAACAGGGTAACCAGTGTAAGGGTACATGTGCATGGACGTTTTCAGCCACAAATGTCCTCTAGCATAAAATTACTTTTTGTTTTCTTAATCTTGGGAAAGTGGCAGGTGGCACATACAGCTAGCCATAGAATAAATAAAGAGAAAGTGCTCCTGCGCTTATGGATATTTTTCACTCAACAGCACAAACTAGACCTAATTGCAGCAGTCTTCTAATTGTGTAAAATTGTCACTAAAAAAGAAAAATTAAAAAACAGATGAGCTGCGCATGGTCATAAACATGTGCATATTTTAGACATATCATAAACCAGTCCCAATAAAAAGTTCTGATGCTTGTGTTCGGCTTGTATTCAAGATCCTGATTAGTGCTCCATTGTGCTTAACAAAAGTGCCCCACATGGGCTGACACTCACCCTCATTCCATGACCATCTATCTCTAGAGTGGTCAGTAACGCTTTGCAGGACAATCCCTGTAAACAAATGGTCCCTGGATCCTTTAGCTTGTGATCTATCCTTAAGGCGGTCCTTGACATATAAGGAACAATTTCCAAAAACGCCTGCTGTCTCCACAGCTCCACAAGCAGCAAAGAAATGTTTCACCGTATATGAAGAAAAAGAAGGGGACATCCCCTAGTGTAAAATTGCTTGGTACCAGGGGCGGACTGACCATTTGGAAACTCGGGCACTGCCCGAGGGCCCAGGGTCAGTAGGGGGCCCCATGAGATGCCCCTGGTACCTTTTTCATAGGCTTTTTTGAGTTTGGGCAAGGACACAGGGGCCCCATGATCCCCTATTGCCCAGGGGCCCCATGAGTTGTCAGTCCGCCCCTGCTATGTACCTTGGGGATAATTATATGAATATACACTCACAAAGTGCCTATAGCCCGGCACCTGGTGTACTCAGCCTTGTAAATCAAAGATGGAAGCCACTGGCCTGATTGCTCCTCGGAGCAGCGTGCGTTCCACAGGGCAGATGTGATGTCGGCGGAAGTTGCGTCATCAAACCTCGACGCGCTTCGATCAAAGATCGTCTTCAGGAAGTGCAAAATCCACCATTTTGGTAATGGTATTTATATCCTTGAGCCAGATAGTTAATTGGTGAAAATCAACCACAGCATTGCTGAGTACATTCAGTGTTACAACAAATTGGGCTGCAAACTTCCTTACTAATATACATTTGATCTTGCACATAAATAATAAACAAAACGAAGTGAATCTTCCCTGGTATGTTCTAGGTGACGACCCCTTCAAGGGGAAGCACCTCAAATAAGGAAGGTGTCCACATACAATATTAAAATGTACTAGGTAGCATATTTACTACTAACATTCGTTTTCCTAACTCATTGTAAACAATAAAAATACACTAAATGGACCTTTACTAGTGCCCTCCTAGGGGGCATCTACAAGGGAGGCACCTCCAATAATAAAAACAATTTCTAAAACTCACACTTTGTTTATACCTTTTATAAAAATCAATTTCTCATGAATCAAAAAGAAGATAAGGGGGAAATAAAAAATAAACAAAATAGTAAGAAAATTAGGAAAAGAAAAAAGGGGGGGGAAACATTTTTTAGAATAACCTCAGTGATGACTGATAGTCATCACCTTTTTTACTCTCTCTAAAAATCTGTCAGGAAGCAGCTTAAATCTATCTCAATATTTAACCCTTCTGGCGTTAGTTTGAAGCTCATATATCCACTTTGATTCATTTTTTGAGATCTCTCTAACCATGTGAGATTCCTTCCAGTGTCTATCTATCTATGGCAAAAAAAGAGAGATGGGATGGGTCTTTATTATGCACCAATCTAAATGATTCGAGACACTATGTTTCTGATCTCCTTTTCTGATGTTAGTAATATGTTCACTTATTCTTTTAGTAAGTCTCTGAGTGGTTCTCCCTATATATTGGTACCCACAAGTACAAAGTAACATGTAGGTAACAAATTTTGTTTGGCAAGTAATGAATGGTTTAATGGTATATTGTTTAAGGGTCTGATGGGACATAAACGTAGTTATTTTCTTGGGCAGTTTTTTAGTATATCTAAGCGGGCCCCATTTCCCACATCTGATAAAACAACCCTCCTGAAAGGAGAGTTTTTTGTTTTTTTTTTCTTTGGGGGATCTGGAATATTATGGACCAATTTTCTTCTTAAGCCTTGAGCCTGTCTATAAATAAAATACTTTTTTTTTGGGAGTATGGTTTTTAATGTGGGGTCCCTAGACAAGATAGGCCAGTGCCTTTTTAAAGCACCTTTCTAACTCCTAATATTGTTGATTAAACCCTGTAATAAAGGCAGTGTCTGTCATTTTGATTTTATCTCTCTTATTCCCTTCCAGTAGATCTTTCCTATTTAAGTGGCCTATTTCTTCCCTCACTTTGCTTAATTCCTTATGTTTATAGCCCTTATACTTGAGCCTATCTATGAGGATATCTGTTTGGTTATCATAATCCTCTTTTAACAGAGTTCCTCCTAATCCTCATAAACTGCTCCTTGGGTATGGCTTTCTTCCATCTTGGGTGGTAGCAACTTTTTACTGGTATATAACTATTCCTGTCAGTATTTTTAAAGAATATTTTTGTTCCCAGTGTATCATGATGTTTGAATATAGAAAGATCCAAAAAGTCTAAGCTATCTTTTTGGATATTTGCAGTAAACCTAATCTCATATTTGTTCCGATTAATGTGTGACATGAATATTGCTAGTGCCTCTCTAGTTCCTTGCCATACCACCAGAATATCATCAATGTATCTCTGGTAACCATATAGCCCAGACCATGTCTTTCCATATATTTCTTCCTCTTCCCATTTATTAGGAAAATATTGGCCATACTTAGCCACCATATATACTCCTTTAATCTGATTGTAATAGTGGCCACCATACCAAAAAAAATTATTAGTCATTGTCAAATCAATTCCTTCCCGAATAAATGTCCTTTGTGCTTTCTCTAAGCTTGTGTACTTCTCAAGAGCCCATTTGACTGCATTACTTGCATGATGTTGCAAGGAGTTAGAAAGGTGTAGCGAGTTAGAAAGGCCGTGGCGAACTGAGCCAGAAGTGGGAGCGGGTACCTATCAAAAACAGGTATCCGCTCCCCCCCCCAAAAGGTGCCAAATATGGCAGTGAGGGGGGGAGGAGGCAAATAAATGGAGTTTCCGCTTTAAGGTTCATTTGTATACATTAATAGTGTGTCCTTGCTTACCTCTGTATGTTTTTACTGCTATCCTGAATTCTGTTACAAAGATTTTCCCTCACTTCAAGTCCTGCTGATTAATGTTTTACCAGATGGGATGTGAAGGTTAATTTCCAGCAGAAACAAAGCCAAAAAGAAAAATCTTAAATTTCTTTTTTTTTGGTACTTGAGTAGGGGAACTAAATGCTTTTCTTTATCTGATTAGGAGAACTAGAGATTTTGCCAGATTTTTTTTCCCCGTATATTATCTGGACAATTAACTGGATAACGTTTTTACAGAGCCCTGAATTACAGTAAACGCATGAATGGTGTTCTAGTCCTTTCCCACTCTCTGCAAAAGTAAAAAAAAACAAAACATACAGTACACTTTTTAAGTTTTTGATTTGCTAAAAGAAATATTGATGTTAGAAGTCTTTTATATAAAAGCTCTTGTGTTTGGGGGCAATGAAACTAAACCTATTTAGCTTTCTGGCAAATTAAATCCCTTTGTTGGACAATATTTGGAGAATTACAGTAAAATATGTTTGTTCTTATATTCTAGAGTTTTCGATTTGGTGCTGAAATAGCTTATATTGGGGCTACCATACTTGATGTGTGTAAGAACATAAGGAATAAAACCTTAGTTGGTGGTAACCAGAAAGGTAAGACAAATGGTGACCATACACAGAGCAAGTTTAGATATGCTTCTAATGATGGTTGATTTACTGTACAGTTTGTGTCCAGGGAGAAAAATACTATTGGAGGATCAGTCAGGCACCAATACATTAAAGATTGTTCAACCATATACTTGAAATCAATCGAAAACGAGTTTGGAATAGCATATCAAAAAATGATTGACCCTATTCTGATCCTATGTGACGTACTGCTATGTGATGTACTGTATTCTGTAAAAAAAAATATTCATCAAAAGTATTCATATAATGATGTACATGTACATTAAAAACTTTATTTTTGGTACAAAATAAGCAGTACACATTTTCAACTGCCATTCTTAAATTCTTAAAATTATATGTCTATGCAGAACAAATACATTTTTCATTGTATTCAGATCATTATTATGTTGCATACAAGTAGAATAGAATATAAATATTGCTAAAAATGTATTAAATGCTGTTGGGGTTTTCTAAGCCTTTTTCACACCTCTGCGTTTTTGGTGCTTTTTGCTGAAACGCACTATAGTCCATTTAACATGGTTTCCTATGGGACACATTCACATCTATGCTTTTTTCAGCTGCTGTGTTTTTGGAAACGGTCAGGGACTTTTTTAAACGCCAAAGAGTGTGTTTGTTTTTGGTTCATTAGACTTCAATGGAGATGCTGTAGAAAAGCATCTAGTGCGTTTTTGACACATTTTGCATTATTTAATCTGCCCAACAAACAAATTATCCAAAAAAACATAAACACATCAAAAATGCATGTGCAGAAATGTTCCACAAAAAGCACTGCAGAAACAGAGTTGAAAAAAGCAAACTGCATAGGTGTGAAGCAAGCCTAAATACTGATTTCAAATTTATCTTGATTAACAAAAAAATCATATATCACTACCCCCCCATTGCCCCCCCCCCATTAATAAAATGAACACTTGTTTAAATAACCTGAATTGCATGAAAAAATATGATCCGATGCCTCATATACTTAACAATCATATTGATCAATCTACTTTATTCACTACTTTACTACTAATTTTCTGTTCATTGCCAAACTTAATATTTTGATTAAATCCATTGGTTTTGCTCTAAATCGGTTGGTGACACAGTATATCTTTCCGAATAATTCATAGCATGTGCTTGTACACAAAAGCTGATCATAAGGGAGAAGGGTTTTTTGACAGAATCCAAGCTGCCAGCATTTTTATAAAATTCCAGTTTAACAAATAAGCTGCCTTGTGTTATATGTCTACTAGTCATAATGTTATGTTTAACAGGTACTGTCCGTGAGCCCTCCCAATCAAAAGTTGCCATTTTATCCAGAAGTAACACCTGTGTGTTTGATCAAGCTGTCCATGTTACTGATGGAGAATCCCCTTCAATGATCCATATCATTGGGGTATGTTTTTTGTGTGTGTGTTGCTTTCAATTAAATTTACATTGTCTATAATTATGTATTCTCCTTGTATTATGATATCCGGGGTATGCCTTATTGTATTTGTATTACAATAAAAAAGGAAGATGCAGTTTTTGTTTCTGCAGTAGGCTTTTAATTATTTTTTTTATGTGATTTTGATATAACATTTATTTTCAAGTGGAACTTTAGTCAGAAAATTAAGTCCTGCTAAATCACTTCATGCTGGGCCCCTTTTGCAGGTATAGCTATGTAAAACATTAAAAATAAGTGTCTATACTGTTTAAAATCCTGTAATACACTGTTTCCCACTGCTCTGCACATGCTCAGTAGCTCTCTATTTCTCGGCACTGTGCCAAAAATGTAGAGGCCAATATGCTGACAGCCTAAATATTTACTGCTGCTCAGGGGCTGTAGGCTTCAGCAAAATGGCAGCCTTCATTAGGCAGAAATGGGAGCAATTTTTGGAGGCAATTTACATCACACACTCATTATGGTAGCATAATTTTTAATGTGGTAAAGAACATTTTTTTTTTTTTTTTTTAATCAAATTGTTAAGTGAGTAAAGTTGCACTTTAAAATATAGAATGGACTGTTGTGCTGGTCTGTATAGCCACTAGAGGGCACATTTTATATTCATGTGCAAGCACTGCCCTTGCTAAACATCAAAGTGATAATAAACCAAAAATGTAATATATTGCAGCTTTCCAGTCATTAGATGTGGTGGCTGCATCATATTACTTTTCTTTGGCTTTTTTTCCCCTCTGTTTTCACCTGGTGATCTGGCCAGTAACACATCCCCAATATTAATGAACCACCACTCTGGCGGAATGAGCACAGGAGGCACAGCAGACAGCAGCAATGTCAGTCTGGGAGGAGTGTTAAAAGGAGTAGCACATTTAAATACAATAACATATTGAAGCTGAACTCCAGCACACACTTTATAAGCAGTTAAAGCAAATCGTTTTTGGGAAATATCTTGCGAAAAACTGTGCCTGGGAGCTCAGGTGTGTGCAGATTGTTGGTGGCACAGGCTACATAGAGCATATATTTCTGCATCCCTAGCAGCCCTCCAGACATGTGATAGAAAACAATTAGAAGCAACCAACCTAGACCAATGTACATTTAAAAAAAAACTCCTGGAGATAAGGTTTAAGATCATTAATTTGGCTGACAAGGTTGACTTTGTACATATTTGTCTTACTGATTTACTCTGAAGCATTATTAAACCCCTAAACAAAAATTTAATTCAACCACTTGAGCTCCAGGCCATTTTTTTTTTTTTTTACATTTTTTTAATTTTTATTTCGCTCTTCAGCAAAGTACATAGTACAGACCACTGTGAAACAGTCTGCCTGTCATGGTGGAAGAAAGACCATCATAATGTACACAACAATGAGAGCAATGAACCCAGAACCATGTCATCTTGTACAACTCTCAGCTCATTGGGAACTGATTACAAGGAAAACATTAGTGCAAAACAAGGCCCCTAGAACATATAATTTGTGATTATTCAATACAGGTGCATATGTAGGGGTCCGACCCATGCAGCTTAAGCCAAAAGAACATTTTTAAAAAACTGAATTTATAGCAGATATGGAGATCAGGAAAGAAATAAGTGAGAAAGGAAGGGGGGGAACAAAACAAAAAAAACAAAACAAGGGAAGGGTGGGAATAAGAGGGTACAGGGACTGGTGCCCACCAAAAAAAATGAAAGGCACAGAGTATCAGTCCTTAGTCCTTACTGGGCTAGAGCCTGTATGACCTGAGAGGACAAGTACAAGGCATAGTCTTGTGAACATTCAAAGTCATGCCAATAATATCTTGTGTTATGGAATTGTTCTTCTTTACCATTCAAAGCCGCTGTTAGACGTTCCATATCATTAAATTGTTACTAAACCCAGGACCCTGCATTCACTATATTTGGTCTCCCACAGTACACGGAACATGGAAGTGAAATTATTTTAGTAAATATAAGCTGCTAAATACCTTTTCTCATCAGCAATTAGAGCAGTCTTGTGACTTCAGCAGAGCGCTGGTTACAGCTTGTAGGAGTTTTCTTTCTGCTCTAGGAGGATGCAAAACCCCTAAACTTTGTCTGGACAGTGCTGATTGGCCCTGTGCTGATCACATGCACTTTCCCAAGAAAAAAAAAAAAAAAACCTCTCTAGAAATACACACTAAACTGAGTGCATGCAGAATGGCTACGGTTCAGTCTGTCTTATCAGGAGATAAGACAAGGATTTTGAACAAGAGGAGGAGCAGAGAAGTCAGGATAAAACGGCCTTTTAACACAATGCAGAGGATTAACCCCTTAGGTTCCACAGTGAATATGACAAGCATTATTTACTGCATATACAGACTGATTTTACTGTTGTGGGTTTAGTAACACTTTAATCTCGTTTGCCACAGCTGTCCATTGACCGATCAACAGAGGGCCAGTATGTTTCCATTTTTGTGGAATGCAAACTTTGGCCACATTAAGCAAGTGGATCTGGGGGGATTTCTTCTACCTACATTTTGAGAGTGGGGTGATGTTTAGAAGGAATAACTCAGCTTATAAATCAACCATTTAATATCTTCCCAAAAGGGCTGTATGCAAAGGCATGTAACAATGTACCAGGTTCTTGTTGGCAACGCCAACATAACGGAGAAAGAGCAGGAAAGATCCTATGAAGAAGAGCAGGGGTCCTATACCAGCGAATCAGCAGTTTATATTCTTCCTCCTGGTATCAGCTAGATAGAGAGGACCGATACACAGAATAAAGGACCCAGTCTGTCTGTGCGTAAGTCAAGGTTTCATCTTAATCTCGTTCCCAAAGGGGAAGTCTGTGTACAAAGCTGCTTGAACGGAGAAAGCCTACTGTGGTTCACTCTACTCAGTCTGATAGTAGATAATAAATTAGGTATTTGCATGGGCCTCCAAGAGTCCAAAGGGGAGGGGAGAGATCATGGCCTGGATTTCCGAGATGGACCGCGAACTCCCACTCGTCAGAAAATGTTGAACTCAGAATTGATTGTTTAAAAGAGTCTTTAAATCTTGTATCCTCCAAGCCTGGGATAAATTCCTGAGCACCTATTATCGGGCACATTAAAGTAAATATCCACAGGGTGGACCTCAGGCAGCTCACTTTGACCAGTACTGCCACTGTGGTCCCTATCGTAGGGTGCAGTTTCACCTCTAATGGAAGAGGCATGGTCTGCCACAGAAGTGTCTGCAAGGGGAGCAGTGACATATTATGCTCCAGGCCTACCCAGCCTTTTCCGGCCTATGTTTGATCCAGTGTAAAACACGGGACATAAGAACTGCAGAATAATATTTAAAAGGATTTGGTAAACCCTTTCTCCTCCTGGCTTTTTCTGACATTTTTGTTTACGTGTAAAAATCCAATATTTTTTGCTACAAAGCTAGTTAGAACTCCCAAACATACACTGCTCAAAAAATTTAAAGGAACACTTTTTAATCAGAGTATAGCATCGGGTCAATTAAACTCCTGGGATATTGATCTGGTCAGTTAAGTAGCAGAGGGGGTTGTTAATCAGTTTAGCTGCTTTTGTGTTCATGAAATTAACAACCGGTACACTAGATGAGCAACAATGAGATGACCCCCAAAACAGGAATGGTTTTACACAAGGAGGCCACTGACATTTTTTTCCCTACTCATCTTTTATGACTGTTTTTCACTAGTTTTACATTTGGCTAGGGTCAGTGTCACTGCCGATAGCATGAGGCAATACCTGGACCCTATTGAGCTTGCACAGGCAGTCCAACTCCTCCAGGATGGCACATCAATACGTGCCATTGCCAGAAGGTTTGCTGTGTCTCCCAGAACAGTCTCAAGAGCATGGAAAAGATTCCATGAGACAGGCAGTTACTCTAGGAGAGCTGGACAGGGCCGTAGAAGGTCCTTAATTCATCAGCAGGACTGGTATTTGCTTCTTTGTCCAAGGATGAACAGGATGAGCACTGCCAGAGCCCTACAAAATTATCTCCAGCAGGCCACTGGTGTGAATGTCTCTGACCAAGCAATCAGAAACAGGCTTCATGAGGGTGGCCTGCGTGCCTGATATCCTCTAGTGTCTGGAGAAGCTGTGGAGAATATTATACTGCCTGTAACATCATTCAGCATGACCGTTTTTTGGTGGAGGATCAGTGATGGTCTGGGGAGGCATATCCATGGAGAGACGCACAGACCTCTACAGGCAGACAATGGCACCCTGACTGCCGTTAGGTATCGGGATGAAATCCTTGGACCCATTGTCAGACCCTACGCTGGTGCAGTGTGTCCTGGATTCCTTCTTGTGCATGATCATGCTCGGCCTCATGTGGCAAGAGTATGCAGGCAGTTCCTGGAGGATGAAAGAATTGAATGGCCCCCACACTCGCCTAACCTAAATCCAATAGAACGCCTCTGGGATATCATATTTTGGTCCATCCGATTCCACCAGGTTTCACTTCAGACTGTCCAGGAGCTCAGTGATGCCTTGGTCCAGATCTGGGAGGAAATACCCCAGGACACCATCCGTTGTCTCATTAGGAGCATGCCCCGACGCAGGGGCGGACTGACAACTCATTGGACCCCCGGGCAATAGGGGATCATGGGGCCCCTGTGTCCCTGCCCAAACTCAAAAAAGCCTATGAAAAAGGTACCAGGGGCATCTCATGGGGCCTCCTACTGACCCCGGGCCCTCGGGCAGTGCCCGAGTTTCCAAATGGTCAGTCCGCCCCTGCCCTGACGTTGTCAGGCATGCATACAAGCAGGACAGGGCCATACAAACTACCGAGTACCATTTTGAGTTGCTGCGATGAAATTGCAGCAAAATGGACTAGCCTGCTGCATAATTTTTTCACTTTGATTTTCAGGGTGTCTTTGAATTCAGTCTTCTGGGGCATTCTTACGTTCCTAACACATTACCCAGTCCATATCAGTATAGATATTCAGCATGATATTTTTCCCCATTGAGATCTGATGTGTTTTCAAAGTGTTCCTTTAATTTTTTTGAGCAGTGTATATTTTTTTTTAAGCAGGGGCCCTAGAGAATAAAATGGTGGGTTTTGCAATTTTTTATGTCATACGGAATTTGCACAACTGTTTTTGGAATTGTTTGGGGGGAAAAATTTTATTTTAATTTTAAATTTTTTGGGAATTTTAATGCAACAAAAACCAATACATAACCCAATTTTTTGTAAAATATAAAAGATGATGTTACACTGAGTAAATAGATACCAAACATGTCACGCTTTAAAATTGAGCGCACCTGTGTAATGGCGACAAATAACATAAATTTTACTCTCCGTAGACAAAGATTTAAAAGCCTTTACAGCTTACCACTTTAGCGTTACAGAGGAGGTCTAGTGCTAGAACCCTGCCTATGATCTGACGTTTGCAGTGATACCTCACATATGTGGGACAATCGCTGTATGTGGGACCGATGTGTGCATTTGCCTTTGCGTGGGGGCACAGGGGCACTTTAAATGTTTTGTTTTTTAAAAAAATTATGAGTTAATTTATTTTTTTATCCATAGACTTCTATTATATCCTGTGGGTTTGGTGCACTTTCTGAAAGCGCACAAAAACTCCTGAATGCAAGAGGTTTTGAGCGCTTTCAGAAAGTGCACCACACCTGCAGGATATAATAGAAGTCTACGGACAAAAAAATTTAATTAACTTTTAAAAAAACAAACATTTAAAGTGCCCCTGTCGCCCTGTGCTCACACGCAAAGACAAATGAACACATCGGTCCCACATACAGCGAATTGCAGCTAACCCAGGAAAATCGCGGATGCACTGCGTTGCACCTGCGGTGCAGGTAACCCGCAGCACATCAGTGTGAAAGCAGCCTTATTAGGGGCTCAGAACAGTAAGGGTTCATGTACATTTGCAGGTTTCGGGGTGGTAAAACTCCATAGTTTATTACCTCAGCCGCACCCCCTTTAGCTGCAGTGGCCAGGGGTGTACACATGTCGCAGCCCCAGCAGGAGTTATATGCCTTGTCATGATTAGTGGGTATAGCACCTGCCAAGCATGACCCATTCAAGTGAATGAGGTCACTCTGCAAGTGCCTTGCAACCTTGTGCAATACAGCAAATAAGGGGTTAAAGCAGGCCACACTGTGTTGCTTTCTCACCACTTGCTTTAACCACTTGCACCCCGCAGAAGAATGCAGTTGCACGGCACTTTGCAGAGTGGCCTTATTTATTTGAATGGGTTGCGATTGGCAAAAGGGGGTTTCATTCCTGCTACTGCTCCTCTGGAAAGATATCAAAGTGTGTTTGACAGGTGGTGAGGATGTAATATGCTGCCTCCTCACCACTTGATTTAAAACCATGATTGCTGTGAAATGCACATGACTGCGACGTGGTAGTATGGCAATTACAGGTTTAAATCAGGTAAGAGGAGGCGATAATGTGCCCGGTGATCTTTTTCTTCTCTCATGTTGTTCAGGTATATCTCCAATTCCTTACGGTTGCCTACCCCTGATCTACCGTAACTGATACTTTTATTGGGCAGCTTGGTCTGTTAAAGGAAATTTAAAAAAGAAATCATTGGCTGAATCAACTCGTGAAAATAAAGGCTAAAAAAAAAAAGAAAATAAATGCAGCCACTGCATCTATGAATTCGTAAGCTGGAATAGAATGCATTTTAATTTTTGGGTTTAATACTGCTTTAACAATTAACCAATAACCTAATGTAGAAAGGTTGTATTTGTTACATCTGTATTTCAAAGTGTAGCAAGAAAAATGCATTAAAACTGTGTTTGTGCACACAGCAATTTTTAAAGGCATTGTACACTCCAAATATTTTGTTATTTTAACTAGTTATTTGTGTAGTTACATTCCCTGTGCCGTGTTTGCCTTACCTTGTACAGGTGGACTCACCTGTTGTGGCTGCAGTGTCATGGCTGGTCAATTCCCTTATGTCCATGTATTAATTCGCCAAGCTTGTCCCTATTCACTACAGTCCATGCCTTACCATTTTCATCTGTGTTGTATCACAAATGTGGGAGTGCTAATATGATGAAAGACTTCATGGCAATCTCTCTGTTAATTGCTCTGCCTACTTGTAGGCAGGTTGTGGAATATATTGTTTATTCGCAGGAAGTTTTAGTTCTTAGACTACAGACAGAGGTCATGTATTAACCTGTGCAGTGCCATACCTCATGTTTGAACACAAAGAAAACTTTCTGACACTGGGATGTGAAGATTTGGTCTACTAAAGGCTGCACGTACAGGCCACAAATGACACCATTACACTACATGATCAATGCACATGTTATGCAGGTGAACACAAGGTGCAGGTAGGAAGGTTTATAATAATAGTTGGTTTTAATGAAATATAGTAAGTCGGTCACATTCATGCATGTACCTAAAATAAAGTAAAATTACACTGCCACGGGAGAAAATACATTTTTAAATTTTGCTTTTTTTTTATTTCAGGGGCCAGGAAACTTTGGACTGAGCAAACTCTATGACATTTGGATACTGCTTCAGCCAGAGTTGGAAAGAATCAGACGTAGGTTTTTTTTTTCTGTAGTACTTTGAATACATTTTTGTTATTAAAGTGGAACTTCGCTCTCTCAATCAACATTGAGTATTTTTAATCCTTATTCTGCTAGCATTAGTAAATGGATAGGAAAGTATATTATATTTGTTTTAAAACTTTTTTTTTTTTTTTTTTAACATTTCTTCAGTTTCTTCCTGACTTTTAATGCCTAGGCAAATTATGTCATTTATCCCAGGAGTCTTCAGGAGGGAGGGCGGGGGGTTCACAGCTCAGCCAATGCCTGAGTTAAGGGCAGATTGATTCCAAGAAGTAAATACTACATGAATCATCTGCCCTTACTCAAGTTGGCCACTGCCAGAAATGCCAGGGGTGTCTTTCAAAATGATTTCTCCGAAAAATAAAGCATGGAGACATGGATGTATGGGGGAGTTTGCTTTAAGTATTAACAATGACATAAATAGCATTTTTGGTTTGTAGTGCTTGGATGCAGTGCAGTTCCACTTTTAAAATAATAGTGTGCAAGGGTTAGAACCTCTATAAAGATATTATTACTGTCTATGTCCTTTTCAGTAAGGAGTTTTTCCCTAACCTCTGTCCAGGAATTTTTTAGTGTCAGAACTGGATGCAAAGGAAAATTGCCCATCACACTTTGCACTGCCTTTTAAAACCTCCTGGGACACATCATCACGCCATGCACAGTACTCCTACATCACCACATGAGTGTGCACTGTCCAGGAGAAACGACTGTCCCCCCTACCCTGCAACAGGTGGAAATAGGGAACTTTTTTTTTTTTTTCTTGAAGACTGAGTAAGGCCTCGTTTACATTTGTGTTGCTCTCTGCAGAGCAATCTGTGTTCAGATTGCTCTTCAGAAAGCATATGACAGGAAATGAGGAGGCATTGCAGTGTGGCCCCATTCACTTGAATGATTTGCATTCAGGTTGTGGCAGTGCCTGCAAAGTATGACAGAGAGTATAATTCATGCCCTGGCTGAGGCATGTGTACACTCCCGGCTGCTGCCTCTGCAGCTAAAAGGGGAGTGGTCGAAGGTACGGTAAAAATGTGACTGAGCCCCCTGCTGTTACTGCCCTTCAACTTTTTCAGGATTTTATTGATGTCTGAATTGAATGTGGGGCTTTAAATACCAGTAATATGTTTTATACAGGTGAAACTCGAAAAATTAGAATATCGTGCAAAAGTTCACTTATTTCAGTAATGCAACTTAAAAGGTGAAACTAATATATGGTATAGACTCATTACATGCAAAGCAAGATAGTTCAAGCCGTGATTTGTCATAATTGTGATGATTATGGCTTACAGCTTATGAAAACCCTAAATCCACAATCTCAGAAAATTAGAATATTACATGCAATCAATAAACAAGGATTGTACATAGAACAATATCGGACCTCTGAAAAGTATAAGCATGCATATGTACTCAGTACTTGGTTTGGGCCCCTTTTGCAGCAATTACTGCCTCAATGCGGCGTGGCATGGAAGCTATCAGCCTGTGGCACTGCTGAGGTGTTATGGATGACCAGGATGCTTTAATAGCGGCCTTCAGCTCTTCTGCATTGTTCGGTCTCATGTCTCTCATCTTTCTCTTGGCAATGCCCCATAGATTCTCTATGAGGTTCAGGTCAGGCGAGTTTGCTGGCCAATCAAGCACAGTAATCCCACAGTCATTGAACCAGTTTTTGATGCTTTTGGCAGTGTGGGAAGGTGCTGAGTCCTGCTGGAAAATGAAGTCAGCATCCCCATAAAGCTCATCTGCGGAAGGAAGCATGAAGTGCTCCAAAATCTGCTGGTAGATGGCTGCGTTGACCCTGGACTGAATGAAGCACAGTGGACCAACACCAGCAGATGACATGGCTCCCCAAATCAGCACAGACTGTGGAAACTTCACACTGAACTTCAAGCATCTTGCAGTGTGTGCCTCTCCATTCTTCCTCCATACTCTGGGTCCTTGGTTTCCAAATGAGATGCAAAAGTTGCTCTCATCAGAAAAGAGGACTTTGGACCACTGAGCAACAGACCAGGTCTGTTTTTCTTTAGCCCAGGTAAGACGCTTCTGACGTTGTTTGTTGTTCAGGAGCAGCTTGACAAGAGGAATACGACATTTGAAGCCCATGTCCAGGATCCGTCTGTGTGTGGTGGCTCTTGATGCACTGACTCCAGCCTCAGTCCACTCCTTGTGAAAGTCCCCAAACACTTTTGAATGGCCTTTTCCTGACAATCCTCTCCAGGCTGCGGTCATTCCTGCTGCTTGTGCACCTTTTTCTTCCACACTTCCCTTCCACATAACTTTCTATTAATGTGATTTGATACAGCACTTTGGGAACATCCAACTTCTTTTGCAATTACCTTTTGAGGCTTTCTCTCCTTATGGAGGGTGTCAATGATGGTTTTCTGCACAACTGTCAGGTCAGAAGTCTTTCCCATGATTGTGATTCCTACTGAACCAGACTGAGAGACCATTTAAAGGCTCAGGAACCCTTTGCAGGTGTTATGGCTTAATTAGCTGATTAGAGTGGGACACTTTGAGCCGAGAATATTGCCCTTTTCACAATATTCTAATTTTCTGAGATTGTGGATTTGGGGTTTTCATGAGCTGTAAGCCATAATCATCACAATTATGACAAATCACGGCTTGAACTATCTTACTTTGCATGTAATGAGTCTATCTCATATATTTCACCTTTTAAGTTGCATTGCTGAAATAAATGAACTTTTGCACGATATTCTAATTTTTTTCGAGTTTCACCTGTATAGTGGTATGCAGTGTAAATGTAGTAGTAAATGCAGTTAATAGAGCTTTGATATCTACTTGCTATATCTCTAATCTAAGTAGAGACTTTTTATATATCACTATTTGCAGTTATGTTCTTTTTTTGCAGAGGGACTCTGCATTAAGGACAGGTTTATAGACACGTGGCTAAAGAAAGGAGGATTTGCAGCTTTAAAGGAGTATGCAGTGAGCTCTGAAGACAGAGAGTTGGAAGGCAAAATTGCTACTGTTGAGAAATACAACCGACGAATACCTGAGTTGGTGAAGAGAATAGAATCATGTAATACTCTTCATGTGGAATCTGCAGGTATGGGCAGACAACAGGTTACACTTGTGTGATTGTACTGTTACGTGTGCAATATCCACGCTCATTTGAAATGTAATCCATTTTTGAAACATAAAAATTAAAGGCCATGTGTGTGTTTGGTAGGAGAGTTGCAATTGCTTGATAATGTGGATATTCTGATTGAAAAATAAAGGGCCTCATAACAAGGCACTGCTGGGAGGCCATCACTGTGTCCTGCAGTTGTATAGTTAGGCTAACATTTAGCATGATCTATACCTCAAGAAGGATTTCCCTGCTAGACAGACAGTAGCCCAAGACTGCCCCCTCACTTTTTTAAATATTTATGTTTATAGTCATTGTTTTACAAACTAACATTTCATACATGTCAAGTAGATTCCCAGAGCATTGTGGATTAGCACAGCAGTAGCAGCTCACCTGATGGCTCATTTTGTTTGAAACATTGGAATAAGCAATATTATAACAGATGAACACTTGTGCTTGAGGTTATGCAGCTCTGTATGTAATGAGGAAAAAATAAATAAATATATAGTTATTCAGTGCCTTGAAAAAGTATTCATACCCCTTGAAATTTCACACATTTTGTCATGTTACAACTAAAAACGTAAATGTATTTTATTGGGACTTTATGTGATAGACCAACACAAAGTGGCACATAATTGTGAAGTGGAAGGAAAATGATAAATGGTTTTTTTGAAATGTTTGCAAATAGTCACCTAATTAGTAAACAGAGTCCACCTGTGTGTAATTTAATCTCAGTATAAATACAGCTGTCCTATGAAGCCATCAGAGGTTTGTTAGACAACATTGGTGAACAAACAGCATCAAGAAGGCCAAGGAACACACCAGACAGGTCAGGGATAAAGTTGTAGAGTAGTTTAAAGCAGGGTTGGGCTATAAAAAAAAAAAATATACCATGCTTTGAACATCTCATGGAGCACTGTTCAATCCATCATCCAAAAATGGAAAGAGTATGGCACAACTGTAAACCTACCAAGACATGGCCGTCCACCTAAACTGACAGGCCGGGCAAGGAGAGCATTAATCTGAGAAGCAGCCAAGAGGCCCATGGTAACTCTGGAGGAGCTGCAGATATCCACAGCTCAGGTGGGAGAATCTGTCCACAGGACAACTATTAGTCATGCACTCCACAAATCTGGCCTTTATAGAAGAGTGGCAAGAAGAAAGCCATTCTTGAAGGAAAGCCATAAGAAGTCCCATTTGCAAGAAGCCATGTAAGGGACACAGAAAACATGTGGAAGTAGGTGCTCTGGTCAGATGAGATCAAAGTTGAACCTTTTGACCTGAAAGCAAAATGCAATGTGTGGCAGAAAACTAACACACTGCACATCATCCTGAACACACCATCTGTGAAACGTGGTGGCAGCATCATGTTGTGGGGATGCTTTTTTTCATCAGGAACAGGGAATCTGGTCAGAGTTGATGGGAAGATGGATGGAGCCAAATACAGGGCATTCTTAAAAGAAAACCTGTTAGTCTACAAAAGACTTTAGACTGGGGCAGAGGTTCACTTCCAGCAGGACTACGACCCTAAACATGCAGCCAGAGCTACAATGGAATGGTTTAGATCAGGGGTCTCCAAACTTTCTAAACAAAGGGCCAGTTTACTGTCCTTCAGACTTTAGGGGGGCCGGACTGTAGCCATTGGGAGTAGAATAGGTCCCACAGTCCGTTGGAAAAAACAATGCCCATGTGTCATTTGGAGGAATTGTACCTCATCGTTCGTGTAATTGGGCCCCATTGTTGGTGTTATTGGTAGAAATTGTGCCTCATCGTTGGTGTCATTGGTCCCCATTGTTGTGAGCAATTGTGCCCCTTTATTAGTATCAGTGGGGGAGTGATGCCCCATTGTTGCTATCAGTGGATGAAATAGTGCCCCAAGGGCCGGATATAAGCAAGCAAAGGGCCGGATAAAAGCAAGCAAAGGGCCGTATCTGGCCATAGTTTGGAGACCACTGGTTTAGATCAAAGCATCTTCATGTGTTAGAATGGCCCGGTCAAAGTCCAGACCTAATTCCAATTGAGAATCTGTGGCAAGACTTGAAAATTGCTGTTCACAGATGCTCTCCATCCCATCTGACAGAGCTTGAGCTATTTTGCAAAGAAGAATGGGGAGAAATGTCCCTCTCTAGATGTGCAAAGCTGGTAGAGACATCCCCAAAAAGACTTGCAGCTGTAATTGCAGTGAAAGGTGGCTCTACAAAATATTGACTCCGGGGGGCTGAATACAAATGCACACCAAACTTTTCACGTATTTATTTGTAAACAATGTTGAAAAATATTTATCATTTTCCTTCCACTTCACAATGATGTGCCACTTTGTGTTGGTCTATCACATAAAATCCCAATAAAATACATTTACTTTTTGGTTGTAACATGACAAAATGTGGAACATTTCAAGGGGTATGAATACTCTTTCAAGGTGTGTCAGGATCAGTAAACAGGCTCTTGGCAGGCAATTCAGTAAGCTTAAAATTCACTTTCTTTATTAGCAAACAGAATAGTGATTGGTTTTTTCTTCAGATTCAGCAAAGCAAGACAGGTTAATCTTCTCATTAGTACAACACAGTCTTGCATGAAAACTTTCAGTGTTCCAGCCACAAAATACACATTATTTCAAAGTCTCCGTTTAAAGGCAAGCTCACCCAGCAGGTCAAAGTCAGATTATGGAAACTTCCAGGCAGCATCCAGGTCTCCGCACTACAGATAGCAAAACTGCCATCAACCGCCCTGTCTGCCCAGCTGCTTAATAAATGGGCCTGAAGAGGAAGTACTTGCCCCCTTCAGTTACCCTCTCCTATCCCTGCCCCAGGCTGACTCTCCACAATATGTATACTGTGTGTGTATATACAGTGAGGAACAGAAGTATTTGAACACCCTGCGATTTTGCAAGTTCTCCCACTTAGAAATCGTGGAGGGGTCTGAAATTCACATTGTAGGTGCATTCCCACTCTGAGAGACAGAATTAAAAAAAAAAAATTCAGGAAATCACATTGTATAATTTTTAAAGAATTTATTTGTCTTGCACTGCTGAACATAAGTATTTGAACACCTGAGAAAATCAGTGTTAATATTTGATACAGAAGCATTTGTTTGCAATTACAGAGGTCAAACGTTTCCTGTAGTTCTTGACCAGGTTTTCACACACTGCAACAGGGATTTTGGCTCACTCCTCCACACAGATCTCTTCTAGATCTGTCAGGTTTCGGGGCTGTCGCTGAGCAACACAGTTTCAGCTCCCTCCAAAGATGTTCTATTGGAGTTAGGTCTGGAGACTGGCTGGGCCACTCCAGAACCTTGATATGCTTCTTACAGAGCCACTCCTTGGTTCAGACCCCTCCATGATTTCTAAGTGGGAGAACTTGCAAAATCGCAGGGCGTTGAAATACTTCTGTTCCTCACTGTATATATATATCATACCTTGATCTACAATTTTAATTTGTGCTGTGGGACTTTTCGTATAGCGAAAAATTTGTAAACCGAAACGCCGTTTCACATAGGAATGCATTGAAAAAAAATTAATCCATTCCTGAGGTCAGAAAAAAGTAAACGCTACTAAAATACTGCATGAGTTATTTTATCAAGTCATGCGGTATTTTATTAGCGACAACCATGTGTTAATGTTTCAGCTGTCAGCGGGGTTCCCCACTGACAGCTGAATGTAAAAGAATTGCTGGCAATTAAAAAATAAACGGTGTGGTGTCCCCCCTCCAATCCATACCAAGCCCTTTGGGTCTGGTATGGATTTTGAAGGGCACTCCCACGCCAAAATTTTAAAAAAAATGGCGTGGGGGGTCCCCCCCCAAAATCCATACCAGACCCTTATTCGAGCATGCAGCCCAGCAGGTCAGGAAATGTGGGGGGAACGAGCGAGCCCCCCTTTCCTGAATCATACCAGGCCATATGTCCTCAACATGGGGGGTGCATTGGGGCAGGGGGGGCTCACCCCCATCCCAAATCACCCCCCATGTTGATGGGGACAAGGGCCTCTTCTCCACAACCCTGGCCGGTGGCTGTGGGAGTCTGTGGGCAGGGGGCTTATCGGAAAATGGAAGTCCCCTGTAAAAAGGGAGCCCCCAGATCCTGCCCCCCCATGTGAATGTGGATGGGGTACATGGTCAGGTGGTTTGACAGTTCTTAAATAGGTAAGGTGCGTGGCCACCCGGGGACATCACCCAAGTGACCCGCCCCATGTGACATCATTGATGTCACATGGGGTGGGGTCACATACGTGATGTCCTCGGATGGCCCCACCCCTTTACATATTTTAAGAACTGTCAAACCACTGGAGCAGGCAGAGAGCTGGAAGCCATCGTCTCAAGCGGAGCTTTTTTTTTTTTTTTTCTTTTTTTTTTTTTTTTTTGGGTCGGCTGCAGGGGACATTTTTTTACTTTTTTCTTTTAATAAAGGACTTGTCAAAGACCATGTCCTGTCTTTTTTTCACACGACACTTTTTGTTTTTTTGAGAATAAGCATCGGGACCATGTACCCCATACTCATTCACTTGGGGGGGGCCAGGATCTGGGGGCCCCCTTGTTAAAGGGGGCTTCCAGATTCCGATAAGCCCCCTGCCCACAGACCCCCACAACCACCGGCCAGGGTTGTGGGGAAAAGGGAGCCCCCCCTGCCCCAAAGCACCCCCATGTTGAGGGCATGTGGCCTGCTATGGTTCAGGGGGGAGGGCGCTCGCTCCTTCTCCCCCCCCCCCCTTTCCTGACCTGCTGGGCTGCATGCTGAGATAAGGGTCTGGTATGGATTTTGCGGGGGACCCCCACGCCATTTTTTTTTTTTTTACATTTTGGCGTGGGAGTTCCCCTCAAAATCCATACCAGACCCGAAGGGTTTGGTATGGAGGGAGGGGGGGCCCCACGCTGTTTTTTTAAATTTTTATTTATTATGGTGCCCGTTTTTAAATGTAATTAGCACTTTTTTTTTCTTCATTATAGCTCAGAGATTCAGCTGTCACTTTCCCCCCAGCTAAAAGAGAAATAGTTTCTTTTTAGTTTATTTCCCCAAGTTAAAAGAAACAATGTTTCCTTTTAGTTTCTCAAAAGAAACAAAGCTTCCTTTAACTCCGGGGAAAGTGACAGCTCTGTGAGCTATAGTGAAGAAAAAAAAAAGGCGGCAATTGTATTTAAAAAATCGGTACCGACATATACTTTGTATTGCGAAAAAAATCGTAAAAAATGCGTAAAGCAAGGCATTATTTTCAATAGATTTTCATTCGGGAACTGAAAATTACGTTAACCGAGGCGTTTGTAAACCGAGGTGTGTATATATATGTGTGTGTGTATATATATATATATATATATATATATATATATATATGTATGTGTGTGTGTGTATATACAGGTGAAACTCAAAAAATTAGAATATCGTGCAAAAGTTCATTTATTTCAGTAATGCGACTTAAAAGGTGAAACTAATATATGAGATAGACTCATAACATGCAAAGCAAGATAGTTCAAGCCGTGATTTGTCATAATTGTGATGATTATGGCTTACAGCTCATAAGAACCCCAAATCCACAATCTCAGAAAATTAGAATATTGTGAAAAGGTGCAATATTCTAGGCTCAAAGTGTCCCACTCTAATCAGCTAATTAAGCCATAACACCTGCAAAGGGTTCCTGAAGCCTTTAAATGGTCTCTCAGTCTGGTTCAGTAGGAATCACAATCATGGGAAAGACTGCTGACCTGACACTATATACAAAATTATATATATCTATAAATATATATATGTGCCGCGCTCCATAAATCTATGAAAACTCATATGCAGGTGATCATAAAATATAATTGTGTGAACAAAATTAATGTGCTTAAGAACAGTGCAACATATAGTGCAATTTGAAATAATATTAATCCATCATTTAAAACATTTCCTCAATAGTCCTCTTTGTGCTTGTATAATTATTCCAGTGACAAATAAGGTGTATAGTGCCACACTCCCCGTGCTCTATATATAGGTGTGCGCTCACCTCCTTAATTAGCCAAACAAAGTGGCTAAAAACACTTTTTGTCCTATAAGGACAGAGTAGAAATCTTCATATTGTGTGCATGTTTCCATCCATATTCTGCCACCAGAGGTCTCCCTCCTTCCTCACTTTAGCCTCAATGGGTGGTTTAGAGATGGTATTTCCTCCTCCCAGTACACCATGTAAGAAAGAGCCAAGAATAGTGCCTTATCCTTTGTGAGGCTTAGCCTTTTATTCAGGTAAAAAATCGCCACTCACATTTGATGTAGCAGAGCTGTATGCAGCGGGTATGTGCTCAGATCCTATGCTCCCCTAGGGGAGGGGCTCTGACGTCACTACGCCGTGGTGGACGAGCGGCACTTACGAGCACATTAATTTTGTTCACACAATTATTATATTTTATGATCACCTGCATATGAGTTTTCATAGATTTATGGAGCGCGGCACATATATATATTTATAGATATATATAATTTTGTATATAGCGTATGTTTTGCACAGATAATGAGCATTGTGTAAAGTGTTGATGCACCATAAGATTGATATTTAGTTCATTTAATATATTACACTAGGGGAGTATCACATTTTGGCTCACGAGTATTATTAATTGTTTTTGCTGACCTGACAGTTGTGCAGAAAACCATCATTGACACCCTCCATAAGGAGGGAAAGCCTCAAAAGGTAATTGCAAAAGAAGTTGGATGTTCCCAAAGTGCTGTATCAAAGCACATTAATAGAAAGTTATGGGGAAGGGAAAAGTGTGGAAGAAAAAGGTGCACAAGCAGCAGGGATGACCGCAGCCTGGAGAGGATTGTCAGGAAAAGGCCACAATTTTGCCCACACTGCCAAAAGCACCAAAACCTGGTTCAATGTCCGTGGGATTACTGTGCTTGATTGGCCAGCAAACTCGCCTGACCTGAGCCCCATAGAGAATCTATGGGGCATTGGCAAGAGAAAGATGAGAGACATGAGACCGAACAATGCAGAAGAGCTGAAGGCCGCTATTGAAGCATCCTGGTCTTCCATAACACCTCAGCAGTACCACAGGCTGATAGCTTTCATGCCACGCCGCATTGAGGCAGTAATTGCTGCAAAAGGGGCCCAAACCAAGTACTGAGTACATATGAATGCTTATACTTTTCAGAGGTCCGATATTGTTCTAGGTACAATCCTTGTTTTATTGATTGCATGTAATAATCTAATTTTCTGAGATTGTGGATTTGGGGTTTTCATGAGCTGTAAGCCATAATCATCACAATTATGACAAATCACGGCTTGAACTATCTTGCTTTGCATGTAATGAGTCTATATCATATATTAGTTTCACCTTTTAAGTTGCATTACTGAAATAAATGAACTTTTGCACGATATTCTAATTTTTTTCGAGGTGTGTGTGTGTGTTTAAGAATTGAATTCGTTCTGCAGGACTTTTCTTATAGCGAAAAATTCTTAAACCGAAACACCATTTCCCATAGGAATGTATTGAAAACCAATTAATCTGTACCGGAGATCAGAAAAAAGTAAACACTAATAAATACCGCATGAGCTATTTTATCAAGTCATGCGGCATTTTAGTAGTGACAACCATGTGTTAATATTTCAGCTGTCAGTGGGGTTCCCCACTGACAGCTGACTGTAAAAGAATTGCCAGCAATTAAAAAAAATTATTAAAAAAAACTGCGTGGGGTCCCCCTTTCCATCCATACCAAGCCCTTCGTGTCTGGTAAGGATTTTGAGGGGAACTCCCACGCCAAATTTTAAAACAAAATGGCGTGGGGGTCCTCCCCAAAATCATTATTTTCAGTGGATTTTCATTTGTAAACCGAAAATTACTTTAACCGAGGCGTTCTTAAACCGAGGTATTACTGTGTATATATACAGTGGGGATCGAAAGTTTGGGCATCCCAGCTAAAAATTTGTATTAATGTGCATAAGGAAGCCAAGGAAAGATGGAAAAATCTCCAAAAGGCATCAAATTACAGATTAGACATTCTTATAGTATGTCAACAAAAGTTAGATTTTATTTCCATCATTTACACTTTCAAAATAACAGAAAACAAAAAAAATGGCATCTGCAAAAGTCTGGGCACCCTGCAGAGTTAATATCTTGTACTGCCCCCTTTGGCAAGTATCACAGCTTGTAAACGCTTTTTGTAGCCAGCCAAGAGTCTTTCAGTTCTTGTTTGAGGTATCTTTGCCCATTCTTCCTTACAAAAGTCTTCCAGTTCTTTGAGATTTCTGGGCTGTCTGTCACGCACTGCTCTTTTAAGGTCTATCCATAGATTTTCAATTATGTTGAGGTCAGAAGATTGTGAAGGCCATGGCAAAACCTTCAGTTTACGCCTCTTGATGTAACCCCCTGTGGATTTCGAGGTGTGTTTAGGATCATTATCCATTTGTAGAAGCCATCCTCTCTTTAACTTCAGCTTTTTCACAGATGGCATCAAGTTACTATCCAAAATTTATGAAATTTTATTGAATCCATTTTTCCTTCTACTCGTGAGATGTTCCCTGTGCCACTGGCTGCAATACAACCCCAAAGCATGATTGATCCAACCCCATGCTTAACAGTTGGACAGAGGTTCTGTTCATTAAATTCTGTGCCCCTTCTTCTCCAAACGTACCTTTGCTCATTCCGGCCAAAAAGTTCAATTTTAACCTCATCGGTCCACAGAACTTGTTTCCAAAATGCATCAGGCTTGTCTATATGTTCATTTGCAAAGTTCAAACGATGATTTTTGTGGTGAGGACATAGAAGAGGTTTTCTTCTGATGACTCTTCCATGAAGACCATATTTGTACAAGTATCTCTTTATAGTGGAATAGTGTACCACAACTCCAGTGTCTGCCAGATCTTTCTGGAGGGATCGTGCAGTCAAACGTGGGTTTTGAATTGTTTTTCTCACAATCCTGCGAGCTGTTCTGTCTGATATTTTTCTTGGTCTTCCAGATCTTGCTTTAACTTCCACTGTTCCTGATGACTGCCATTTCTTAATTACATTCCGAACAGAGGATATTGACATCTGAAAACGCTTTGCTATCTTCCTATAGCCTTCTCCAGCTTTGTGAGCGTCAACTATTTTCAGTTTCAGTTTTCTAGACAACTGCTTAGAAGAACCCATAGTGCTGATTGTTGGGGCAAGGTCAGATGAGTCTGGGCATTTAAAACCTTTGAGATTGACATCACCTGGTCTTCCCAGACGATGATTGAGAACAATACATGACACTGGCAGGTCTCAGCTTTGCAAAGGGGGCAGTGCATGCTATAAATTCTGCAGGGTGCCCAAACTTTTGCAGACGCCATTTTTTTGTTTTCTGTTATTTTGAAAGTGTAAATGATGGAAATAAAATCTAACTTTTGTTGACATATTATAAGAATGTCTAATCTGTAATTTGATGCCTTTTGGAGATTTTTCCATCTTTCCTTGGCTTCTTTATGCACATTAATACAAATTTTTAGCTGGGGTGCCCAAACTTTCGATCCCCACTGTATACACAACAAGCAGGGCCCTCTGATTCCTCCTGTATTAAATGGTATTGTAACTGTACGGTTTGCCCTCACATTGTAAAGCGCTATGTAAACTGTTGGCTCTATGTAAATCCTGTATAATAATAACATTTAACGCCAGAAAAGTGGCACAGCAGCTTTATTGAATCCCCCCTAATGTGTTCTGTGTTTTAAAACTCATGGCTCAGTCCTTCCTGAGCCCTGGCCTCTGGTAGGAGATGTGCTTGAGCCGTGTTTGCTAAGAGCTGACCATCCAATACTCTTAACTGTGATGCTTGTTCACACAGGAAACTCCTATTGTAGCAGGCACATGTGGGAGGGAGATCCTGGGTGGTCCAGTTTACTGACATTTCTCAGTGTTAGCAGTTTATATGGACCACTTTAATATGGTTGATCATTTATTGGATTTCTTGGTATAGGTCTGTTTTACATCTGCATTATAATATAACTTTTTTTTTTTTTTTTTTTCCAGACTTTATTTTAGGAACAGTTCATAAAGCTAAAGGCATGGAATTTGACACGGTTGAAATTACTGATGACTTTGTGAAAGTGCCTCTACCTAGACATAATATCAGGAGACTAAACCTACCCATAGGTGAGTAGAGAGGAGAGGAGTTTATGCTGAAACATTGAGGCTGCTTTAGTAAAGGATTTGAGATCGTTTAAACTGAATATTCACACAATTTATTATGTAAAGTGGTTGTAAAGCTAAAAGGTTTTTTCACCTTAATGCATTCTATACACTAAGGTAAAAAACCTTGTGTGTTCTGCTCGCCTCAGCCCCCCTTTATATATACCTGAGCCCAATCTTTATCCAGCGTTCTGCCTGAGAGAAGCAGCTCTCTCCACTCTCTCTCCTCGTAGGCTCTGAAACAGCAGCAGGAGCCATTGGCTCCTGCTACTGTCAATCACAACCAGTGAGGAGAGAACAGGGGTTGGAGCCGAACCATGCCCTCTGTGTCAATGGACACACAGAAAGGGGGTCGGGAGCGAGCAAGCTCGAGTGCCCCCATAGCAAGCAGCTCAATATGGGGGCACTCAGTGGGGGGGAGCAAAGAGCATGGGCAGGGACCAGAGAGAAGAGGAGGATCAGGACTGCTCTGCAAAACCATTGTGTGAACTTTCTTAAATCCCTTAGTAGATCAGCCTTATTGTGTCCTTGTATTGTATTGTGTCCATATAAGTGATTTCTTGAGCAAAAGTATTGCTCTCTGAAGTTGATTGAAAATATTGTTTGCATAATGCAGAGAAGGGGTTTTGAATAACTAGTCAAGTAAGATTAGGGAAGAGTTTCCTGGTTTTATATAGTGGAGCTAAATTAGACAGAATATATTTAACTTTGGTCATAGGTTTATCATTTCCTTTGCCCCACCATACTGCCTTTTACTTATGCCATTCCTGCCATGAGAGGACGCTATTACCTCCTGAAAATGCAGCTGCTTTGCTGTGTCTAGTTTTAGCTCTTTAGATTCACTGACTGAGAACAAGCAAAAGTTGGGGAAAATCACTGTTTCCATTTACATGAAACTTGGGAGCCAATTTCTTGTACTGATTTAAATGAAACGTCAAGACGTATTTGGTAGAAGACATTTAAGAGAGAATATTCAAGTTGTACCCAACTCCGTGTCTCCAGTGATCCAACCCATTAAAGCTTCTTAAATATTAATGCAATTTTCTCATTCTGTACGGAAAAAAGTATCTGAAGAGTTCCCTGTTCTAGTAATGGGGAGATGTTCCTAAAACTTCTATTTAAAGGATGGAATGGCAGCACATCCCACCTAAGGGTAGACTCTTCTACCTGCAAAGTGGCAGGAACTGGAAGATTGTAAATTGTCCACCCCATGCTTATACAGTCTCAACAGAGAGCCCAGCACATGTGCCCGGTAGAGACAAAACCTGCGTAGAGTATAATAGCAATCTTCTAGTGCATGTATTGTCGAGGAATTTTTATCCAATCGGACAGACCCTTACATACACAGTTGTTGGTGGATCTAAAGGAGACTGTACAGTCATATAGTATAGTATATGTTCAGCTTTATACTCTATGGCAAGTCTCATCTTTAAACTGTGCATGCATTGAACACATTTCTTCAAGTCCTTAAACAAACCTTTACCTACATTTTGTGGATGTTATGCACTGATCATAATGGGAATGCTGACTGACACTTTTGGCACACTGTCCTTTCAAAGATTGTGCCCCCATTCCTGACCTAAAGTAACCCCCCAGTATAGTTACCTGAATTGGGTGACCAAAAATTTATAGCACCTCTTGAAATCTTCATTCCTCTGGCTTCCCCTGAGCAGTAGAAACCCATAGGCTTCTTAATACAGGAGATGTATCCATGGAAGTCTTTTGAGTCCTTCTATGCAGGCGTGGCTAGAGAAAAGTGGGCTGTGGCAAGTGGAGATGAAGATCCTTGCAGATCGTGGTTATCTGAAAAGGGGATTAGTTTAGGTCAGCGGTGGGGCAAAACAATAACTGTACTTTATATGAAAGACATCTTTTAAGCTGGCAGTGATTTTCAGGTGCTTCAGGGGTTAATGTGAGCAGCTGTGACTTGCACTTGCTAAGTGCTGACTATACCTGGCCTTTACATTCCTGTGCTTCAGTCATAGAAGCTGCACTATCACTTCCACAATGAAAAGCACTGAAAACTAAATTACTTGGCTGTTGCCATTCATGGTCTTCCCCGTGGTCTCCACAACAGCCCCAACAGGTGGGCAATTTTCACTTTTTTCCTTTTTAGGCCCCTTGTACGCAGGACACTTCTGAATGATGGAAACTGCTGTAAAACATAGGTTAAAACACATCTGTTTAGTAGCGTTTGCATACCGCGTTTATGTGCGTTTATGAGCATTTGCATTTAGAAGCGTTTTTTAAAGATAACCTCAGGAGACCTTCCAAAACGCTCAGAATGCACTGAAAAACAGTAAAAAATTAACTATTTCAGAAAATATGAGATAAATAGAGAGAGCAGAAGCAGAGAGAGCAGTATTTGTTGAGATTAGCTGTCTTTTTTTTTTTTTTGTGGTGTTTGGATGTGTTCCAGCTCATTTCTGTGCAGAAATTATCGCAGCAGTGTCTAACGTATTTTCTTTCATGAAAAACATCAAAGTATGGTGTGCTACGTCCATCTGAGTACTGGGAAAACGCTTTGCATGCATTTTTCATGATGAAAAAAAGGCTCTGGACAGCATCTGGAAATGGAAGCGTTAAAAAACATTTTCAAATGCTGATAAAAGCAGTTAGCCGCGTTACAAGTGTTTACAAGTGTTTGGCATTTGAAACGCTGATAAAATCTACTGCTGAGCGCAAGTTTTCTGCGTTCAAAAAAACGACTGTAAACTCAACTGCCTATAAATGACATAGTGTACATGGACACAGGAAAATGTGAGTTTATCAGCTGCAGTGTACATGAGCCCTTAGTCTCTTCCCACCTAGTTGGGTCTAATTTAATCGAGCGCTGTCAGATTACATGGAAAATCAAAGTCTAGTAGTAGTAGTTTTAGTTTTGGAGCAAGGGGTAACAACAGAAATATAGGAATAAGTTATGTTTCCAAACATTATCCATCCGAGATCTCATCCAAAATATAAAAGCACTACAAGTAATGTCATCATTGCCTACCAAATACAACACATTTATGTGACCTACACAAGACACTCTGGCCCCGTTCACATCTGCTGCTTTGGGATCCCAGGAAGAATCGCTGCGATCCTGCCTGCAATTTCAAAATACACTGCAATAGTGGCAAAACACACCACACGTGTTTAGGTGTCATTCATTTTCAATAGTACGTAAACGCAATCTGCTTTTGTCATGGAGTAAATCGTGTTGTAATCTCGGCAAACCACATAGGGCGAAGCTTGACCTTCAAAAGAAGCTCCTTCTCCTGTTTGGGTGACAGGCTTCACGTAATGTGGTTTGCCTTAGGCCCTGTTATCTTGTGTTTTGGTCAGAATTGCTGCGATCTCAGATCGCTCTGCAATAGTGACAAAACACACCACGCATGTTCAGTGCCATTCATTTTCAATTGCACCTAAATGCGTTGCTGCAGTCAAGACAAATTGCATTGTGTAAACCTTATTGCCCAAAAAGGAGTAGGAGCTTCTTTCAGGTGACAAGCTTTGCATGGTGCGGTTTGCTGCAATTGCAGCGAGATTTATTGCACGCCAAACGCGCCCGAACCGCACCGTATTTATATGTCATTAAAAATGAATGGAGCCTGAACATGTGCGTTTTCCCACTATTGTAGTGCCATTTGAGATCACAGGCAGAATCGCAGTGATTCTGCCTGAGATCCCAAAATGCCAGATGTGAACAGAGCCCAAGTGACACAGAGATTATTCAGAAATCCTGTATCTTCTACAGCATCAAAGTTTGCTTTTTTTGTTCTAGATTTGTCCATAGAAGATGAATGGAATTTGCTGTATGTGGCTGCAACTCGGGCAAAGAAACGTCTCATCATAACTAAATCAATAGAAAATATTTTAACTTTGGCTGGGGTAAGTTTTAGTATTTCTCTTTTAGTATAGTAAGCAGCAGTGTGTGCTTATACATTCCTCTTCTTTTGGTCATGTTATAATGTAGCTTGTGGCTACTTTGTGAGCACACTTATTTTTTTATTCAATCTATTTGTATTGAAATTTCAATAAAGAGTAGAATACAGAAAGGAAAAAGGGGATAAGAGGGTAGGACAGCTACACAAATCTGTTTGCACACTGCAAATCAAATGTTGATTGCTCTATATAACTCAAGAAGAATACATTGACATCAAATGTGCAAAAACCACCTGAATCCTAATTTGTCACCAGTAGGTATAGATTTTAACAAAATTCAGGTGTCTCATCCAGTTTTGTGAAAAAAGGGAGGCTGCCTTATGTAATGCTTACAGTAGAGATCCAAGATCTCAGTTCAGAATATTAAGAGCCCCAAGTACTCCAGAGTGACAAATGTATCCATGTCAGCATGGGTTAGCAGTGTAACAACTCAGATAGAAGACACCAAGCACAGTTAGATAGGGATCTTAATATGTTTGGGTTTCTTTTTTTTTTACATCAAGTCGTGATTTTAGGTAGGAATGATGAAGGGAATCTGCCTGGAGAGGTGTCATAATCCTAAGCTTTAACTGAGTGGATTTTTGGCAGTTCCCAATGAACCAAGTGAAATTCACTTCATGGGCGGCTCTGTCAGCATGCTGCCACCTGGCATCCTTCAATTGAAAACTCAAGGGAGTTGGGTAGAAAATTGTTGGTTGAAGAATTAATGCATCCAAGCAGGTGCAGCTGCTGTTTGGGTATTCTGATAGCCGCACTGGCTGTCAGAATACAATAGCTGCAGTGGGAGGCTCGTCTGTTGGTGCTGCGCAGACTGAAGCAGAAAAAATCTTTGTACTGTATGGCAAGTCTTGGTGCTATACTTTGTTGCGTCTATTCATACTACACACTACATTACATTTTAGATTCCTTGTATCATCCACAACCTTGGCCATTCTAGAACAGACAAATTTTTCTAGTATAAAGAATATTGGGGGCGGGGGGGGGGGGGGGCATGATCTATATAGTTTTTACTAGCATCTACATGTGTATATGTTTAGCTGTCCGACTGACCTGGTAATTTACTGTCCATTTCCAGGAGTACTCACTAAAAGCAGAGCTGACCAGTGAGGTGCTGAAGGAGGGCCCTGTACTGTGTGCTCTAGGGCACTGCAGAAATCCCATCTCTGAAAACTCAGTGCTGACCATGAGAAGACTGCCAATCACCTATGTAAGAACACTTTACACCACTTCAGTCATTATTAAGTAATTCCTTTATACTGGAAAGATAAAATCAGTGATTCTAAAGGCATAATTTTTTCCTTTTTTTTTTTAAAAAACATGCCTATACTTACCTGCTGTGTGCAGTGGTTTTGCACAGAGCAGCCTGGATCATCCTCTTTTCAGGTCCCCCACAGGCTCTCTTGGCTCATCCCTCCTGTCGGGTGCCCCACAGAAAGCAGCTTGCTATGGCTATGGGGCACCCGCTGCTCCGTCTGTCCATTCACACACGGAGCTGTAGCTTGGCCCCGCCCTCTCTCTCTCTTCTCATTGGCTCAATTGCGGTGATTGACAGCAGCAGGAGCCACTGGCTGCACCTGCTGTCTTAGCCAATGAGAAGAGGGAGTCCCCGGATAGCTTGGACTCCAGTGCACATCGCAGGATCAAGAAGGGGCTTAGGTGAGTATTAGGGGGGGCTGTGGGGGATGCTGCACAGAAAAGGTTTTTCGAATAAAATGCATGAAGGAAAAAACCTTTAGCCTTTACAACCACTTTAATTTGCACTTAACACACAAATTCCTGCTGGCATGGCAGTCTGCTTCCTTTCCTTTCCTTGATCACAGTGCAATGTGTGGTGCTGGCTACCATCAACAGAAGTTCGGAGTAAAAACTGTCTTTTAGGTTACCCCGTTCCGGTCATGAGTGAGTGATGATGCAGCTATACTCCACACTGGATTCCACATAAATGCCTTTTGTGATTGAGAAACTGTATGCTGCAAGGAAATGTAATCCCATTAGTGACTTAGACCTCAAAGCAGAATTAAACAAAAAAAAACCAAAATGTAATATATTATAGTTTACAATTTCTTAGATGTGGTGACTGCATTAGTTTTTGTTTTTTATTTTTTTTTTTGTTTTTTCACCTCCAGCCAATAAGTCTGTTAATTTTAGTTTCCATTAAGAGAACAGGCTGTCCAGCAAAATAGCAGAGTGTTAAGGCAAGCCATTTATTGCTATCAGGGGTACTTACAATAGTCCGCTGTTGTTAACCACTTAAGCTCCGGAAGATTTTACCTCCTTCATGACCAGGCTATTTTTTTGCTGTTCGGCACTGCGCCACTCTAACTGGTAATAGCATGGTCATGCAATGCTGTACACAAACAAAATTTATATGCTTTTTTTTTTTTACACAAATAGAGCTATCTTTTGGTTGTATTTGATCACCACTGGGTTTTTTAATTTTTTCATTATAAACAAAATAAGACCCAAAATTTTGAGTATTTTTTGCTATAAAACATATCCAATAAAAAAATTTTAAAAAATCTAATTTCTTCATAAATTTTGGCCAAAATGTATTCTGCTACATCTTTGGTAAAAACAAAAGTGTATATTGATTGGTTTGTGTGAAAGTTATAGCATCTACAAACTATGGTATAGATACTGGAATTTGAATTATTTAATGTTTAAAAAAGGGGTTAGCTAGAGTATGGCCTTAATTTGTTGGTCAAGTCAATCTAAATTATGTTTTGCTTTGTGTCCATTGATGCTAGGTAAAGCTGCTTGAATTAAATGTATACTTACTGGTCATTTTTAAAGGGGAACAGAATTTAATAAATAAAAAACTGCGATTATGCCAATATTTATTGTAAAAGGGGCATGCATGTCTCTTCTGCAATAAAAAGACTTACCTGCCTGCTTACAATCTACTGTTGGATGTACACTGCGTTGCGCATGCATAGCTCAGCATGCATTCTTGGCACACTCCATGCATATGCACAGGATGACCTCATTTTGCCACCAGTCAATCAGGCCAAAAACTCGGCACCTGGAAGTGCAAATTGGCAAGGGATTTAGCAACAGCATTGCAGGAATGAGGAGGTGAGTATGGCCCCTTTCACACAAGCAGACCGATCGGGTCTACCTGTCCTTTTTTTTTTCAGTCGGACCCGATCGGACACTCTTTTGCTCTGTTTGGAGCCACAGACATGTCTGTGTTTAGTGGACATGATCGGATCAGATGGTGTAAACAGACGGATGGGAATCTGTTCCTCATCCATCTGGCAGATCAGATGACAGTCAAATTGAAACTGACAGGTAGTCGGTTTCCAACTGACAGCCCATACAGGACAGCGGGCTGTGTCCATGCCTGCTCTGCATAACCGGAGCAGGCACAGATCTGTCATCCACTTGCTCAGTGGGGATCGTTGGGCAGATCCTTCGCTGTGCAAGCAGATCCACTGACAGATCTGCCCCGCTTAAAAGGGGCCTATTTGTTTCCGTTTTGTTCTGCTTTAACCCCTTGGCGCCAGCGCCTCCCAGCCCTTTAAGGGTTTCAGGAGGCGGGGTTTAGGGTCACATGATCAGGAAAGATCCTGATCAAAAGAGGAGATCGGGACCTTTCCGTGAGTACCGGACATGTGTGCTGGGAGTGCACAGGTCACTTGCTCTCTCAGCACATATGTTTTTTTTTTAATAGAACACAAATGTGCGGCCGCTCGGCGTCTAGACCCAGACTCCGGGAGGCCGCACATTTGCGTTCGGCCAGACCCAAGAGGTTAAAGCAGTAGTAAACTCTTCCTAGAAAATAAATACCAGGCCCCTCTACAAGTTAATACCATAATGTGCTAGTATGCACCTCACACTATGGCAATCGTACCTTTTTAAATGAAACCCTCCAGTGCCACGTGGTCACTGCTGCCAGAGCTTCTATCTTCACCTGGTCTTCCTTCCAGGTACGCACATTTCGGCTGCTTGCATGGCTGGGCTGCAATGACGTCACTCCTGCATATGTGCTCGGGAATCACAAACGTGGCACATCGCTCTGAATTGACAGCACACGCGGTGTGCCCTCAGCTCAGAGTACAATGCACATGCGCCAGTGATGTCATCGGCTGCTGAGATAGGAAATATCTCCTAAACAGCAACATTTTTTTAATTACATGCCCATTTATTTCATGTTTAGTTGAAATAATATAATTGTATTTACACTTTGATCTTTTTTTTTTTTTCTTCACAGAGTGACAAAAGTGAAGATAAAGGGGGCTTTTTCTGCCATGCATGTGTGCAGCAGCGAGTTGGAAATATGACACAACTAATGCTATCGCCAGATATTTTGGAAACCATAGAGAGTAAACTTGAAAACATAGTTATGAACAGACATCTTGAATTTCTCTTGCAAGTTATTTAGGAATAAATGTTTTAGTTATCTCCTGTTGGGTGCCCCCAAAGTGTGAGGTTTTGGATGTCACAGAATGTCATGTGCAGTTTTTTGCACAAGTATTCTCATGTGTTTTTATTTTTAATAAAACCTGTCAAACATCTGGTGTACCCAAACCGATCTTATGATGAAATATTGGGCTTACTCTTAAATGAAAAATGCATATCAAAGCAGTCGGCAGTTTCAGATGTATAGGTGGTAGAATTTTTTTCAAATCTTTTTTTCTTTCTGTAAGATGTGAGCTTGGCAGCACCCACATCTGCCTCCTGCTTCTCTGTTAATGTGATACTTGGCCTCGCTAACCAGTAGGAAAATACAGGATGTATGGGGGACAGGGTTTTGTTCGACAGAAAATTTGAATACTTGCATATAACTTCATACTCCACTTAGATCTGATCATTTTGACGTGATTTTAGTGTGGGCTTCGTGTGCGTATTTTTTTTATGGTAATATTCATGATCCATTTCATCATTTGCGTGCCATTATTTGTGCAAGGAATATGTTTTATTCCTTGTTGGATAGTACTGTCTGAATATATCATGTACCATCTAAATCATAATCTATCAAGTTTGCAGTCAGATGAAAATGTTTATTTAAGTATATATATTTTTATATCATGAGAAATGTACAAAGAAAGAAACATTAAATACAGTTGTAGAAAGTGTTTAAATTGTAAAATCACATAATTGGTCTAAGCGTATTTTTTGTTTGCTTTTTATTATTATTTTTGCTTGATGATTGTACATTATTTTGATTTCAATATTGTATACAATTTTGGAGAAAACAAATATTCATATTCCGTACTTATTTTTTTTTTTTCCTGACTGAGGTTTACAAAAACTTTAATACTTATGTTTTTCTTTTTTTTTTTTTTCATACATGAAATATGAACAAAGCATGTCCCTCTATAGTGTGTACTTGTCTCAATCCAGAGCTAAGTGTCATTTCGGTCTGCTGCCTCATTCCTCTGCTATCAGCATTCGTTACTTCTGGCAAGTTTTCCTGACACCAATAGAAAAATGGTGACAGGGAGGGAGCTCTGGCTGATTGACAGCCACGTATGTGTGTCCCTTCCCTCCAATCAGCTCTCAGAGCTCTCCTCACTGATGAAACTTAAACTCTCGGTCCCCTGCTTTTTAGAGCTGAGAGATCCTGTGTAAATTATGCACTTTAAATGGATGTAAGGGAAACATGGCTGTAGAAAGAGGAGGTACAACTTATATATAGGATGATTTGCTTCATCTCTGGGTAGCACCTGAAGCCAGTTACTTCAATGGCTATATATATTTAAATCTTGACCAAATAAATTAATACATGTTCATAAAATCACTATATATACAGTATTACTTTTAAAAAAGCCATGAAACCTGGCAAGAATTATCTGGTGTATTTCTAAAAAAAGCTACTTATCTTGATGTGTCTGGTACCTGTTTTTTTTTATATTTATATAATATAATATTATATTTATATAGAAATATTTATTGGATTTTGACAAAATTGTACAGAGATCACTTGCACGGTAAAATGATCAGCTATGCAGAGAATGGTATTACAGCTAACAGAAACCAAATGAGAAAAAAAGAAAAGAAAATTAGCATGATGATGACACTGAACAAGTGATACCAGTTGGTTGTACTTTGACTATGGATAAGTTGTCTAATTTAGACATAGAATGAGGTAAGGTAGCCGTATCATGGAGTGCTGTAAGGTCTCTCTATAGGAGGTGCCTGGTATGCAAAAAGATTGTGAATGCTATTTATGCATATCCAAATATTGTAACGTACAAAATGTAGAGTAACAAGAATATAAGGGTCAATCGAAAAAAAAAAAAA